GCACTGGCCACACGAACAAACACGCGACACGAACTCGGCGACGGCCAGCTTGCCTTCTGCCTGAGGAAGTTGCAGCCTTGGAGTGGACAGGGGGACATCCTATGACTCCAAACACGATCCAACTTCCTGGCCTCTCCTACCCTTCCAAACGTGGGCGAATCACCCTCTCCTTTGGGTAATGACCCTATCTTTACATCCCAGAAACCCACCCCTTCTGTTTTTGTTAAGGGTCAGAAGGAGACAGGCTGTGGTTCCTAGAGGACCCCAACATTTCATTCGCTGTCGAGAGGCCGCCCCAAGAGTTCAGCGGGAAGAATCCGAGGCCCGGGAGCCTCTCAACAGCTGGAAGCTATGGGGCCCATAGGCCCAAATAGGCTCGTTCGGGGTGGGCAGCTTTCGGGGAGGGTTCCGCAGGGGTCCGGGGCTGTTGGGGATACGACATGGGGGCGTATTTTTAAAATATTCAGTTAAACCTCAAACAAACAAAGCCATGCAAAGCGATTACTCTTGGAATTCCAAGAGCGATCCATAGACCAATGCGTCAAGGTCGGAAAACAAATCGCTGGCTGGTAGACATCAAGTCGCTGGACTCCGGGATCCGGGATTCCGCGCGGCTCTTTGGGGACCTCTGGCTCGCCTGCGGAGAAAACGAGTCGCCACCAGCTGGAACCTCCATGACTCGTTTTGAGAACTGCACGGGACCCCTGAAAAATCAGCCTTACAAAATGGCCCTATAACCGGCTTCCCAATCTTTTAGGGTAGGTTGGTCCAGGGCCATTCGTATTGTGAACCCTTGATGGACATCATTTAGGCGGGGATTTGTGTCCGCCAAATATTTGGGAGGAAGCTCCACGGCAAAAATCACGGCCGAACAGGGCTTTAGGAGTTGTGGCGGTTGAAGGAAATTTGGTCAGGGTTCCTTTGTTGGACCGCAAAATAGACATAAAGATCCAGTGTTTGATGTCTCCATGTTGGGCAAGCCCTGGGCGGAATATGGGAGTGCCAACCAACAACTTGGTACCTTGGTCCCCTGCGCGTCAAACACCGGGCGGAAATGGGTGTGCCCCTAGTTTTATGTCCATGAGAAAAATTGAACTGATATTCTGTTTTCAGCTGATTTTGAAGCACACCCCGCCAACAAAAAGCAAAAGAACAACAAAACAAACAAGCAACCTGTCTGGGTTCCCCACGAAGGCGATTGCTTGTGATTTGGGGCCTTTGCGTTTCCTCGATGGACTAGACTGAGTGGAGCCTCTTCCGCTTCGGCTCGGAACGCCCCTTGAAGGGGGCTGTTCTGTTTTGAGCCCAAGTACCCATGACAAATTCATGACAGAATAGAGCATAAAACACCATATGACACGCACAGCCCCAAAACCACGGAACCCATGAAACACGGCAAACAAAAACAATTTAGAAAACCCTACTTGAATTCCAGAAACCGCTCATCAAAGGGGGGGCAGGGGGGGCAGCTCACCAAGGAAACCCCCGGAGTCCGACGCCGGTCCAATCGATCGATGGGCCTGGCGGCATGGGGCTCACAACCTCAGCCGGAGAGGAATTTCGCCACTCCGAAGCCCTGGGCCTCTAAACCCTAAAACCCTATGAATTGGAAAGAGGAAGATTGAAATCAAGGCTTAGGTGCACTGGAATCAGAAGGGTTTCTGTGGAAAACCCCCTAAACCCTATCTTGGGAACAGAGACCCTGTGTTGAACACTTAGGTTAAGTTGTTGAGGCCAAGGGTTTATCTAAATTCCTGTTTCAAAGTCCCAGAATACAAGAAAAAAAGGACATGGGCAAGCCACCTTGTTAAGATTCCTATGACTTGTGTTACACCCCAAGAAACATGAACTAGGCAGCACTCTTTGTGGGGGGGGGGCAAAGCTGAGATTCTTGTGACGATTCCCATTGCAAAGCTTGCTTCTTTCGGGGAGGAGTCCATTGGTAACATTCTGGATGGATTTGCCCTGGCTTTGGTTTGGAGTAGCTGTCATTGCTGTGCATAAAACAGGGCGTTGTGGCTCATGGACTCTTGGAGTGCACGCAACTCTGCAATCCTTTAAAGGAGCTAGCCAAATATAGGGCAGGCACACTTCTTGAATGCTGGTTGAGAGTCCTGCAGTGCCTCCAACTTCATTCTTCAACAACTAGCTCTTCTGATTCCCCCCCCAGATCATTGAGCTCGCCACAAGAGCATGTGTTAAAATGGTATGTGGCCCTAGTGTGTCCCTCACGGAACCTCCCCCGAAGCTGCCTTGAACCCTCCAACCTGCCAAAGCCACCGCAAACCGCGAAGCGCTGTCAAAACTGATTCCGTTTGCCTTTCTAGGCAGGGATCCTTACATTATACACCTGAACATTGCCCTGTAAATGGTGGTTTCAACCTGTATTTTGGTGTGGAAAAAGCCACATGCAACTCAACTGGATGGGCAAAATGGAGATCTTTTAAGGAGCCCTAAGGGCGCCCTCCCACCCTTTTAAGCACTAAAAGGTACTTGTACTTCATGGCAAAGGATGAGCTACGAAACGCCACTGGATCCAGTCGCTGGGGCCTGAGGTCCTGGGCCCATCCAACGCTCGGCAGCTCCTTCCTCGAGATGCTTTCGGAGCAAAGTGGCGGGTTTTCGTGCAGCCCAGAGACCCATCCAAGTTGGTTTTCGTGTAGTCCCACTTCCAAGTTGTTTGCAGGTTGAGCTCTTTCCGACTTCAAAACAGTCTCCTTCGAATTCCAAGATTTGCAGGCCAGGAGTTTGTTTTCTCACTAACCCAAACCAAATGGAAGAGGTCTAGGTACCTATAGAGGGTTCATGAAAGCCCTGTGAGCAAGAGGTTGTTCGACCTTTTGTAGGTCTTTAATGGGAAAGCCATTTGAAATACAAAAGGACTAAGAGGCCTTTGGGGTCACACCAAAGACCAGCCAAGACAACGAGGGGTTGTCGCCCGATTGGTTGGCCGCCCTAAGAGGAAGCGCAACCAATCTTCTGCAGGTTTGGTCATCGTTTACAAGCTTGGAGCAGCCGTCTTTGTTGGACCCCGGTGGTTTCATTCTGCCTTAAACAAAACGGCCAAAACGGGGCTGGCCATCTTTATTTGGATCAAATGTGACATGGATAATAAAAGAAAGTCACACAGTGTGAGGCATGTTGTCACGGTCCCCTGAATAGAAATCCTTCAGATGGCTGTGCAAATGCCCGTTGATCATCCGTACTAATCTGCACACAAGAACCTCCAACACCTGAAGTAGGGGGTAAGGGAGCATCATTGTGACTAATCCCAGAGAATGTGCCCAAACAACAGATCAAGCAGGGAGCACGCAGTTTTGACACGCCGCAGCACAAGACAAAGGGATCCCCAATGCGTACGTCTCGATTTTTCCCTGGGGATAAGCTCCTTTGACTTGTTCCTTGTGCATACAACCCCACCGCCTCTGTAATTCCTCTGTATACTCGGGGGGTTGTCCCCCCCCAGATGTTCTCCGACCCAGGTTTTGGTGTCTGGCTACGAGCTTCAAGTGGTTGGACCCTTTGGACGGGTCATATATTACTTCGATGTAAGGACAACTCCGGATTGACACACCATTCTGCAAATTCCAGGCATTCCTTGGCTCTTAAAGCGTTCTCTTGGATGCCCGGAAGGCGCCTGCGAGGCGTTGCGCCGGGAACAAAACACAAAAGGATGCCTTGGGATAGGCTTCTGTTCACGTGAAGAACTTGGGTGTTCCTTTTTGACTTTTTAAGGTTCAGGATTTGGAACTCGACCGAAGGCGAAACGCCTGACCCCCAGCACCGAGACTTGGGGCCCCGACACAACCCAGCCATTCTGCTTGGCGCTCCTCAGCCAACTTGATCGGATCTCCCTTTTTTGGAGTGGGCTGTTGAAGCAAAAGAAGGTGGACCCTCAAACCCATGAAACATCATTGCATTTCTAGGGCACTAAAAAAATCTTAAAACGCGTAGTTTGCGGGTTCTGGTTGTTCAAACACAGAGGTGTCAACACCCATGAATTTCAGGGGGGTTGAATCGCCCAGCCCCAACTGACCCATCGGCCTCTCGGACCCCTGCGAGGTGTCCGCGGCGACTTCGGCAGCCTTGTCCGGTTCAGCACCCGCCATGGCCAGGCGGAGCAAAGCGCTGTGCTAGGCCGAGGTCTGCCGAAAATCAGCGAAAAGCCTTCTGAAACTGCCCTGGTTTTAGTGTTTGGTTCCATTTACCAGGGTTCCATGTTGGATACCTATTTTTGACCCACAACCATATTGCCATAAATGGACGGGTGTCCCATGTTGGGTAGCCTGGGTATTTTTTTGGATCTGGAGGGTGCTCCGACCATGGAAAGAACGTGACAGAACATAGCCAAGCGAGATCTGTTGAAAACCCAAAGATGCACAAAAACAACAAGGTTTGGGTCGGGACGTGGTGACATCATGCCCCAAAAAGCGGGCATTTGAAGTCGGGGGTGTACCTGGCCTTTCTTTCTTGCATGCTGGGCTGGCTCGCTGGCCTCTGAGCCAAGACCGACCGGGGTGTGGCAAGACTTCGACCCGGCCGCAGATGCAGCGACCCCACTTGCGAGTCCCAAGACACCGAAACAGGTCACAGCATGGTCAAAGCATGGTTGTACCTATTTTGGCAAACCCAAAAATGATACTAAGCAATATGGGTCATCCAACATGAAAACTCAAGCAACATAGTTTCTTGTAACACATTACAAATGGTTGTTGAGGGACTTTGGGCCAAAAGAAAAGCGAAAAGGCGTAGGGGGGGACTCCAGGAAGCGGATCCCGAGGAGCAACAATTCCATGGATCCCAGTCCGCTTCTTTTTTTGGGGGGGAAGTGCACTGCCTCACAACCATTCATTTAAGTCGGGGTTTGATTGTGACTCACATGGCAATCATGGCAGGCCCAAAATGCCAATGGTCCAAACCCCCCGGATCGATTCGTCAGACTCCTTCCCGATGGGCCATGGTTCCAGCCTTTCTCTGCGCTCTCGGCGGGGGTGTCCTGCCTGGTTCAAGAACTGCATCAGCCTTGGCATAAGAATACAACCAACGACGCGGACGAAACTCCGTCTAACCCGCCGTTCCAGAGCACCTCTGGTCTAACAGAATGGTTAAACTCGCCACTTACCCCAAGCGAGCCATTGATTTGACCGTATCCCAATGAAAGGGCGCCCAGTGGATCCCCAGCATTTCGCCAGTGGGCAGCCATTCTTTTCCTTTTGCTTTTTGATTCGGGGTTCCCTTCCCTTGACCATGGCCTTCCTGTCACGAGGCGAAGAAGGATCGCGCTCAGCTCGGGACTGCTGACCGGTGATGCCCGCTGGAAGATTGCCCAGGTACAGCTCGCGCGCCGACTGCCGGAAGGATCTTTTTTGCACCAGCTGAAAGCTATGGGATCTCTGCCCAAAGCAATTGGGTGGTTTGGAGCAGGGGCTGGAAAGCTTTGGAATCTCTGCTCAGCCGGAGTGGTTTTCTGAAAAGGTTCCTGGGGTTGCTTGGAGATGCCAACCGAGCTTATCTTTTTTCGCGGCCTGAGCAAAACTGCTCAATCTGATTTTCCGTGAACCCTGTGGCAAACCGGATCCTCGAGTAAAACCTTCCTGTGTGAAATCGGTTGCAGACTCGCCCGAAATCAGGCCTTGTGAGGTCTCCGTTTCATTTGCACAGCTTACGCGAGTATGGATACTCAGGCCTAAACAATCTGGCTGGGGTTGTGGCGGGGGGGGGCTTCAAAACTAGACTAGGCCATGATCGCAGGAGAATCCTGCGTAGTTGCCCGAGCCCTGTCTTGTATTAGATATTCTAGAGTCCTTAATGGTTGGACAAAAGGAGCGACCAGTCTAGGATCCCAACTCCCTTGAAAGGCGTGGCTTTTTGCGCCTGGCCGGAAATGGGTGGGGGGGGATTCAACCCATGTTGAGCGGAAGGAAGCCTCCTGAAATCATGGAACGCGGGTGCGCCCAGCCAAAGCCAGCGCGAAGCGTTGATGTCTTGGTTCACCCTTGAAGACTTGCTTCATGGTACCAGCCATGAGGCCTCATGGACAACGGATTCAAATGCGTGGCATGACGGCAGTGGGCTGCCCAAAACCGATCCCCACCTGCAATTGAAACCGATGGCAATCATGCCAGCGACTGGCTGGTTTCACCAGCCACAAGATCCACGAATTCCCATGAGCTTCCCACATCTGCGGCTGCGCCATGGCTGCGCGACCCCACCTTGGAGTCCGCTGCTAGAGCCATGGGGTTCATGGTGTTGGACACACCTGAGCCGCGGTCTCGCGTCGGACTGGAAAGGTTTGTCTCAAACACCAGGCGGCTTCGCTTCGATTTGGCTTCCCTTTAAGACAACCCCAACAAGGTACCCTGGGAAAAAAAGCAAAGACACAGTCATATCACTGGATTTGGGTGCCTCCATGGCTCACAAGAAAAAAAAAAAAACACGTTGAACATAGGCCTAGGAAACCAAAAGACCTTGTCACCCTGGCTTGTACGGATTGGCTTGCAAGTGGTCGAAATGGCTTGTGAAGTGTTGGACTGACTTGTGGTTGGCAGATTGCCTTGTGAGAAGGATCGGACTGGCTTGCGCCTCTTCGGATTAACTTGTGAGAGTGGTCGGGTTGGCTTGCTGCGGGATTGGCATGTTTGGGTGGTCGGATTGGTTTGTTCGCCGCTCCTAGTCCGAGTGAATGCCTGCGCTCCAGTCATTGTGCGATGTTCGCGGCTTGAATTGGGTGCTTTACTCTTCACCTCTGTGTGAAGACAACGCTCCGTACTTGGCAGTGTCAAGTACTTGCAGGGCCTTTTCTCATTTATTTCGGTTGTTTTGCAGAATGCAGATAATTTGAATATTTAACATTTTGAAGAGTCGTTTGGCATTAAACATACGAAGGTAGAGAATCAGTGTTTATCGCGGGTCATTTCAGGTCTCGTTCCACCAAAGAAGTGAGTAACTGGAAATTCCGAGATGAGGATAGGTGTTGGCCATCCAATCAGAGCAGAACCTTGCAACACAAGCCCATGGCGATAGTTTTCTAGGCAAGCGGGGAAGTTCTTCTCAGCTTTGCAACCATCCTTTTGTGTCTTGTTAAACCGTGTTCACCTTCTTCTTGTTCTTCTTGTCCGTGGTATTTAGAACCCTGGTAAATGCATCTCGGCAACCGATGCAACCGATGTCTTCACAAACCCCCCGCCTGCCAAAGCCAGACCGCCTTGCAGGGCAGCTGCCACACCGCCTGCGGGCGACCGATCTGGCAGGGATCTGGTCGTAGCTAAGCTCCAAACACAACACCATGTGGGAGTGGCACTTCGAACATGGTTTGCCTCCCTTCAAACACCAAAAAACAAAAAGGCTACGCAAGTTTCGCATGGATGTTTCAAAGCCGGCCGCTCGGTTTGCCCATTTTTTGGTGGGCTATCATAACAATGTTCCAGCTTGTGTCCTTAAATGGCTCCCAAAACGGGCTGTCCTTCTGAAGCTTCCCTTCCACCAGCCAAAAGTAGCAGCCATCCCCCACTGTCGCACACTCTTCCCCGGCCCCCCGAGAGCAGAGTTGCTCCAAGACCTTGTTACGCTTTTGGAGACATTTGATCCCTGTTGCCAGGGCTCCCGATGTTTCCCCTTGAAGCACCACCCCATAAACAACAAAACTCGTTTGCCCTGAAAGCTTGGCCATTCGGCTCGAAGTTTGAAGCGTTTTCTCGTTGGGCCCTACAAGCCCCCATCACTTTGGCGTGTTGATCTTGAAACGCACAGACACACACACACACAAGCAAAAACCACTTTCATACGCGTACATAAACATGACAAACCCCATTAAACCTACGTAAACGCGACTTGAAACACTCACACCTAAACGCACGAGCAAACGGCCCTCGTCTTCACGGCCGTGACCTCCAGAGTCCTCTCACCCGGGCGACTGGCGTCGAGCCGTCGAGCCGAGCCGCGCCTATTCCCATGGGGTTGCCCGTCAGCATGGCGTCCCTTTGATACTCCTCCTCCTTTGGCGGGCCTAGGCCAAAACGGTCGAGTCGGGAATCGTTCGGCAAGGGAAAGCAACCCTCCAAACAATGGGGTACACACAAATTTAGGGAGGCCAAAGTCAGGAGAACCCACCGATCTCCGGTGGATTTCCATTGGACAAACAAGCTGCATTCCTTTCTTTGGTGGTTGTTGTCAAAGGGCAACCCCCTTCCCGCTCCCAGAAAAAAGAAAGAAAACAACTCACAATTCAGGGGTCATGACTCATGAACGTTTCTTTGCAGGCTTCCCTGAACAACAATCAACCAGGTGCATGACAGCTTCGCTCTCAGGTTGGGGGCAAGGGGTTGGTGGGCCGCATCCCCAGCATCCCCAGCATCACCGGCCTTGCTCGGACTAGGGCTACCTATTGGCTTTGATTTGGTGGCAGAGAGTTGAGTGTTGGGCTTGCTGAGGTCTTATATCATGAGGGCGGGTCTTGGGTTTGTTTGGCGTTCATGTGGGCTTTGCAAAGGGCTGATATCCAGGATGCTGTTGTGAGGGGTTAAGATTGACTTGAGTCAGTGTGGGTTGGCTTGGAGCTGATTTGCACGAGGTGTGCGGCCCGGTTTTTGCAGTAGCTTTTGGGCTGCTTTGGATGTGGTTGTGCAATTTTTGGGCTGCTTCGGGATTGGTTGTGGGGCGTTGCCAAAACCAGCCCAAAACTTGCGCAACCACATCCAAAGCAGCCCCAAAGCTAGTGCAAAAACCGGGCCGAAGTCAACCTTAACCCCTCACAACAGCATCCTGGATATCAGCCCTTCACAAAGCCCAAGTGAACCCCAAACAAACCCAAGACCAGCCCTCATGATAAAGGACCTCAGCAAGCCCAACACTTGCCCGAAACCAGCCCGGAGCAACTCTCTGCCACCAAGTCAAAGCCAACAGGCAGCCTTAGTCCGAGCGAGGCCGGTGATGCTGGGGATGCTGGGGATGCGGCCGCCCAGCTGACCGACCAACCAAGCAACCAATCTCCTGGCCGGGGCTAAGCCCCGAGCCGGGGATCGTAATAAAAAACAAAAAAAGGTTTCCGGTGTCACGCACCATCAAAAAACTTAGGGGGCCTCCTGCAACTAGGGCTTGTCAATCCATTGCAGGCGCATCGCCTGGATTTCTGCGAATCAGCTATGCCACACTGCGGCTCTTCCGGGGGGGTCTGCCCAAAACCTATGGTAAAACGGGTCCGATATGTGTGCCACCCCTTTTCATGGTTGGAACTATTCACCCCTTTTCATGGTTGGAACTGTTCTCTGATACTGGCGTCCTGTTTGAGGATACCCGTGTCGGGCTGCCTCAAACAAAAGGAAAGACCCTCAAATGGGTGGGGATCGGGGGCGTGAGGGTGGCGGGGGGAGGGGGGGGACGGGATCATGACCCTTGAATTTGCTTTCCAACCCGCGGTATGGTAGCAAACCACATTCTTTGTCTTTCAGCCACCCACTAGACAGAACATTTTGAACAACAAACATGCCGTTGGAAGTTTGACGGTTCATGGCTCCACCCCTTATGTCTCACTTCACCTTCAGGCTCGGGCTATCGAAACGCCAGCGCCGGTACTGCATGGACGGACTCCTCTTTCGGGGTTCCTCCTGAAGGCCAGGTACCGCACACGCACACGCTCTCTCCAGAGCGCCCAAATCTAAGAATCCATCTCCAGGAAATTCCCCGGGAAGTTAGCCCACACTGGTGTTTGCGGGTATTTGGCTAATTTCCTGGAGAAGGCTGGAGATGGTTACACATATTTGTATGGGGACGTGTCCACACAGGGCTGCCCGAAACCTATGATGGCCTTTGGTTCTCCTCGTAAAACCATACCAGGGGGACCTTAAAAAACAAACCGACATGTACAATAATATATATATATATAAAAGCACAATTATGATAATTATAAGAATTGTAGAACTAATAGCCATGACTCATACACACATACATACATTACAATCAACTTACGTTACTATAAACCCCATGAAACAAGGTAGTAGAAACACTGCTTTCGGGTTTTGGGCACTGCGCACGTACACTCACGCCCTGTCGCTACCAGTCACGCTTTGGATGACGAATTGACCTGCGGATGCACCCTCCGAATCGAGTGCCCATTTCGTTCAAAAGGCCCTGAAATATGTACCAAACTGGTTGAAGAAGACCCCTAACTAGTTGAAAAAGGTGAACTCTCGATGCATTGTCCCTTGTACCCGCAAGTGTCCTCACCCCCCTTCCATACCTTACTTAAGCGGCGGACATGCAATCATGGCAGTGCACGGGGACTTGCCAACCCCGCTTCAGCTTCCATGATTGCATCCCAGAACCAATTGGCTTCGGGAGGCTACCCGACAAATTAAGCTTCTCAGATCAACGAAGCTTCTGGCTGGAGTCACCTTCTGACACTTGACGCGATGGCTCATGGGAACACAAATGGGTCTGAACTCCATCTTTTTTATGGAGACTCCCAGTGTCCAAACAAAGGGTTCTCTTTTGGATGGGGGGGCGAAAGGAAATCAATTCCATTGTTGAATGGTTGAAGGGAATCTAACAGGAAATTGCTGTTTCTTTGACGGAGCATGCAACTGCCCCCGATACCCGAAAAAAACTGTGCCAAGTGCGGTTTGGAGGGAACCAGCCAAGTCATTTTGAGAGTACCTTGAATGCGACCGCTCAAATGGATACATACACAAAAAAGAGTTTCCAACTGCCAAGAAACCAGCCGGGAAAAGGTAACGAGAAACCAGCAGCGGGCCACTGCTTCAAACGCAGCCACTTCAATGGAACCACCACTAAATAACCAGAGGGTCAAACCAACCCCAAGCCAATTGTCTAAGAGAAAATGGGGTACACAACTCCCACAGTAAATTTGATAACAACCTCCTGAAAAAGCCCAGATTGGGAACCCGAAATGGTGGACTTTCGGTGGGGATGTGCGTCCAGCAATGACTTGGCGTATTCTTCAAAAAACTCCATATATCATATAACCGGATATTTTGTCAACTTTTGAAGGTACCTGTTTTGTTGTTCGTTCAAAGGGAAACCAAGGGGGAAACCACTGTTTGGATGGCTCCATCACAAAGGGCACAGCCATTTTGGGCTCCAACTTCGTTTGGAGACGCACTCCGGCGGCTCCTCTGGAGGCGGGGCCTTCTCCTGACGAAAAGATGCGAGAGTCGGAGTCGCAAGCTGGGAGCTGCTGGAGGGCCCGCAGGTTTTGGATTGGCTTCGGACACCAAAAAGAGATTTGGAGGGAATGTCTTTGGAAGCTCCCAGACCGTAAACCTTTGGGGTTTGGGGGCCCAGGTGATTCCTAGGCATCCGAATGCCAAGACCTGACTGAAATCATTGGCCGTTCGCATCCTAAAGAGCTTGGTCTTGCAGCCGTGCTCATATGCCCTCACTTCCGGAGTAGTCAGAAGCACGAACTTTTTTGATCTACCACTAAAATGGTCTTCCCAAAATGTTAAACCTCCATGAACTCATGCAAGGAGTGGCAAGTTTAGCCCTGTGGATACATAGTGCAATGAATCCCCTGGTTTGTGGTGAGTAAAAAAATTGAGTCCGTGTCAATCCCAAACTGGCGAGAGACTACTTTGATTGAACCTCATACGAAGGTACGATTCGATGTGTATGTGCCTAGCTATGTGCCCCTTTTCTGACACCTGCAGGATGTCGTACATCAACAGGTGGTAGAAACCGCCGAGGTTTTTTCGGGTACAAGCCCTACCCACTCAAGCATCCCTATCGATTCACAGTGAGGGCAAAACCACCCCGCAACTCCGACAGCACGCCGGCCTTCTTTTCCTTCTTCTCCTTCTTCTCTTTTTCCTTCTCTCTGGACCTACAAACTTGGTGGCTATTGCCCCCGAGCATAAACTTGATGGCTATTGCCCCTTGTGCTACAAGTTGACACTTGCGTGGGTTGAAGGGAAAATACACTGTTTCCCCAAAAACAGTGAAGGCTCGAAGATTCAACCAACTAGCACCCAAGACACAGAGCTGTTTTTCGTGAAGCCTAAGCCGTGAGGCTCCATGAAGGTCAAGGCTGATCGCTTCTCCCAGACACTTCTCTCCTTTTGTCCCCGAGTTGGAAAGCATCAGCTTTATCCTCATTGCGGCAAATCGCAGCAGGGTTTGGGGAATGAACCGGAGGATCCCCACTAAGCCAACCAGTTGGATGGATTCAGTTTGATATTTCTAACTCATTCGCGACAGCAAGTTGTGACGTCTCTCGCAAAGACCAGCCCGAAACATCAGCAAGGACTCTCCATTCAAGCGCAAGGGTTCTCCATAAGGGCTACCTCAGAAAGGCCCCTTTTTGAGGTCTCAAGATTATGATGGAAGTAAAAGGCTGACCTGGCACATGGATTAAACAACTAGGACAAGCAAGCGGCAAGCTTACGTGCCTGCTGCGCCGCCTTGCTGTGCGAAAGCTTAGCTTGCATTCAACCCCAAGTGGGTGTGTGTTTTTTTTAGGGGACCCCTCTCCCCCAATATATATATATATATGGTTGTCCTCTTGGTTTCTTTGTGGCTACCAAGCCTCAAAAAAGCCGAGCCAAGTGTCACCTTGTGCTGCACTTGCTCAATTGTTTTGGCCTGCTCCGCTTCTTCTCGCGCTTTTCTCTGGAGCGGCTCCTCTTCTTCTCCTGGCGGACAGGAAAGCAAACAGTTTGCTTCCCTTGACTGAAGCCCGGCATGCTGATCTGCTCCTTGTTAACGGCCAGTTGTGGCACACGCACGTTGCTTGAACTAACCAGGGACCGGCTTCTCGTTACAAAAAGGCAACCCTTTGAAGGGTTACAGCCTGCTCCCATGAACAAGGCAAACAAGCTACTGCCAACAGTTGCACCAGTTGCCATGGACTGATAGGGGCAACAGGATGCAAGAATCGGGAGGCTTTGTCTCTAAAGTAGGGACCGCCCAAAACGGGGGCAGCTTCCTTTTGGTGGTCCCTTTCACCGTAAGCAAGAAGGGCTCCACAAAAAAAAACCAAGAGAGGCACACACAAAACCGCCCAGAGTGAGAGACTTGGTGAGAGAGCGGATCCGAAGCTCCCAGCCTTGTCCTTCTCCCTGTCCTTGTCCTTCCTGCATGCAAACCGGTGACGCGGAAGGACCATCAGCGATTTCCAAACAAGAAAGAACACCCATTCAATAGGAAACCGAAAGGACCCTCAGACTAACTTCTCTTTACACAAATGGACACCCCGTCTGAGGGCAATATTCCTATGTCCAGTTTTTTTAGTGTCCAGAATCTCGCCTTCACCTGCCCGATTCTTTGTTAGGGACGCCTGTCCCAAGAAAGCAACCCAGCCGGGGGGAACCCTACACTGACACCCCCGCCAAAAAAAAGAGAAGGAAAAAAACAACCAAAAAAAAAGTTGCTTGTTAAGGGAACCCTATTCCCACCCCAGCCCTCTCCCTCGTTTGTTCAGACCAGGCCACTGCAGGCATGTTCTAGAGGTTAATTCTCTATGTATAGTCTCTCCGGCTGCCATTTTCTATCTCCACCTTATGTTCCCCTTTTCAGAAGAGAAGGATGAGAATGGGGAGGGGATGCAGTTCGACATGTGCACATGCACTAATCTGCTCATGATTGAGAAACATCACCTCTTCTGTGATGGGTTATTTCCATGACGACTTATCACTTGGCGGGGCGTCACTTCATATCACAGAATTTGATTCGCCCCCAAACCTTGATACGGTAGCAACATGAACAGAAACTGAACAGAACCAACAAACTAAACAGCGCGGAAGCCATGCGAAGACCAATTAAAGTGACCCTAAAACCTAATGTCCACAGCCATGATCTCTTTCCTGCATGCCCTGCCTCTTTTCTCGGGAGCGTGATCGCGCCTGCGCGAAGAAAAGGCGCAAGGAGTGACACGGCTATTGGAAAGCTGGCACGGGTTGGGCCAACCCCTTCAGGTGTTGAACACATGAGTCACAATCAAAACCCGGTACTACAATGGTCTACCCAGAACCATGCTTCCGGAATTAAGAAGGCGGATATCCGCAGCTATTTATGGCTGGGATTGTCCCTTACCAACCTTCATCTACCCGGGTTTTGATTGGGGCTCACATGCATTCTACACAACTTGGGTCTGCTTTCAGGGCGTCCAAGGTCTGGTTGTTTACCCACATGTAGTCGAATGCCGACACCTCTCTCTGAATCCGAAGCAAGGATGCAAGGATCTGGGTAATGATTTCTGATGTGGGAATCCAACAAATTGCTGGTTGTCCCTTTTGGCTTCCTTCAAGCCACGGTGCAGAGGGTACCCTCAAAAAGACGCAAGCCCAGGCTTTGCCAGGAACTCTGGGCGAGACTTCCCCGAATAAGACAAGTCCAGGAACTTGCAGAGTGAAGTTCTCGGAAAGCTGTCGCTCTCCGGCTCAAATTCTGACCCAGACCAGCTGGAACTTGACACTTAACGAATGGATGACCAAGACCCAGTCGAGTTGCAAGGAAAAGACCTGGTCACTCTTTTTTGGCAGTTGAGACATTTTTCAGGGCGCCTGCCAAACAAAAGGCTGCAAGGGATGCAACCTCTGGAAAGTGGAAAGGACATCGCGTTCCCGAGCCGAAAGGATTCTTCCGGGGCTCGCGCCATGGCGAGCTTGCAAAACCTCAGTGAGACCATGGGTCGAGAGCATGGCCGCCAACCGCCGAGAGAAGTGCAAACCGGCAATACGGGCAAACAGAAGCCAACCGTGGGAGGGTGCCCCATCTTGCCTTGGAAGGCAGCAACAAGGCTTCAAAAACTCCTTTCGTAGCTCGTTGTCGTCGGTCTCATGCGAGTCTGGTTCAAGCGAAGTGCACTTTGGGACAATGAAACAAAGAGATCGAAAATAAATACGATCCATTGTCAGCAAATGCGAAAACCAGAGCAACACTGAGCCAGATTGATTTCATTTTGGCCATTATAGAATGCAACTGCTGCAGGATCAATTCACGGTTAGTCCAACGTTGATGAAAACGGTCAGCCTGCAGACGCTCCAAGATCTTCACTACACACTTAGTGTTGAGGAACCAACTGCAGTCTGTGCCACTTCTCACACAAATACGAACAAAGCAAACAAGTAGTGACAGCAACTGCCCAGTCCACAGTCAACGCATGCTGGTCTCCTGAAAAGGAAGACCCTGCACAGAACCAAAAGGTCTGTACTCTGTCAATCACAAAGTCAAACTCCGTCTTTGTCCTCAAGCGTTTGCGCGCGAAAAGCGAAGCAAATCTACCAGAAGTTTTCCCATTCAGCGATACGATCCAAATCATTCACCGTGTATGTAGGTCATTGTCATGGCTCCCTCTACAGGAATCCTTACAATGCCTAAAATACCGAAAGGGTCCGTGACAATGCACCTACCCATCCCCAGTACCAAGCCAGCCAACAAATGGCAGGTCTGTGTTTTGTTCCCAACAAAAAATCATGGCGATTTCGGACTCGTCGCCTGATTCTTTGTGTGTAATTCAAACATAGACCTGAGGTTCCCGGCCGGCCGCGGGCTCCCCAGGCTCCCAGCTCGGCGTTCCCGGAGCCGCGGCTGGAGCTACGGACGGGCGCGACGTTGATTGGGACACTTGGCCTGCCTCATGCGCTCGGTGCGAGAGATGCAGGGAATGAGAAATGGAATGAGAAATGGAATGAGAAATGGAATGAGAAATGGAATGAGAAATGGAATGATAAACTGAGAAAGACCATCCAACTGGTGGTTCCTTTGAGAGGGAATCCCGAGATTCATTTGTTTTTCTCCTTCCCTACTGATCCGCACCAGCAAGTCATTTGGGTGTGGGTCGAAAATTGGGTAACCCCGAAATGGCTTGACCGGTTGATGGAAAAATGAACTAAAACCTGCGGGTCCCTGGTGGTTTAATTTTGACCGATACCCGTTGGCCTTTCTAAGGCTCTCGGTTGCCGTTTTCCTATGGTGGTCCCTTCAAAGAGGGGACCCCGCAAAGGAAACCCTAGTCCCATAAAACGGCTTGCAGGGTCGTTAAGAACCAAAGTGAAACCCCGGCCCCCCTTTCCCGGTTGACGGGTGCAAGCCTTAAACCAACTCGCCCCGAATCTCTGGAAGGCTTTGTGGGGGCGGGAGTCTGAACTCCTGAACACAGGGAACTGACATGCACGCCTGAATGTCTTTCAGTCGGCTCGTTTGGCATTTCCTCCTCCTCCTCCTCCTCCTCCCTCCCAAGTCAGCGTTCACCCATGTGCCTAAGAGACATCTTGACTCTGGGCCAACCAAAGACCTCCTGCTGGTTGAAAGAGACAAGAATGCAAAGAGCTTAATGAGTGCTAAAAGGGGTCTGGAAACGCCAAGCAGTTATCATCTAGCGGAAATTAAGCAAGTATGGGCTAATTAGCATCCAGTTCAACAGGGCATGGAAACATGGCTCTTGGACCAACATCAGGTCTCAGAAGAAACCTACACTGTTGGAGGAACACTATGAGTGCTTTTCTTTGCCGGACTCCCTCTCCCTCAGACAGGCAAACAAAGGCTAGACAGTCCCAAAACTCGGACCTCCCGGACTTCAAAGTGGTCCAAACTTTTGGCCCTTTTTGCCCAAACTTGGAACCCTCCCAAAGCCCACCGCACGCCGCACGCCGGCCGCGTGTCTTTTTGTTTTCTGGGATCAGCCCAGCGCCCGCACATCTTGGAAAAAGCTGGTCGCGGCCGAGGGCACGAAGCCTGGCGCTGGACTTCGCTTCTGGCGCGCGAAAAGGCCGCTATGCGGCTATGCGGGGATTGTCGTAAAACGTCAGGGGAACGGACCTCAACCAAAGAGAACTCTCCCATGATGGAGCCTGGAAGACGTCCAGACATGAATCTTTACCAACATATTTTTTGAAGAACGCCAGAAAAAGGTGGGATTCATGTCCAGCAACCACTTTTGAGGCGGATTCATAGCCATGGCCACGTTGATGCCAGTGGTTTCCTATGATTTCGGCAAGGATTCATGATTGGGAGCGATACGAGGCCGTCTTGAACTGGGGAAAAAAGGGATGCCATCTGACTTGTCCCCCAATTGTTGAGACGTCTTTCAGGTCTATATATTGCCCCTAGTAAGGTTTCTAGAATCTGCTCAGAACGATACATGTTCAACCAAACTGACCCGGGCACCTGGTTCTATCTGCACCAATCATGTGAGTTGGCCTTCTCAGCTTGATTTGAAAGGGAAACCGCAATTGTTGGGGGGCAATCCTTTTTACTCAAATCCAGTTCAGACCCTATCCCCGAAAAGGGAGCCACAAGGAGGCTTTAAATCAACAGAGTTGGCCAACCCCGATCTCCACCATTCTTGCCAAGCCAAACATGTTTCTTTGAGGGTACCCTCTCAGCATGGTTCAAAGGAAAAACACATTTGGGGGGGAGGGGGGGGCCAAATCCCCATTTGGATACCAAACATCATTTTGCCAACGCCCAGAACGTTTACCTCATGCCTACCTGAAGCGCATCTGATTCGCGCGCTCTGTGGCTTCGCGCCCGCGCCTGCCGCGCCTGCGCCTGTCCTCACAAGATTTTCTGCATGGCTGGCCCAGCCAAAGCCCAGCCATGGGGAGCAGAAGGGGAGGTCTTCGGTTTGTCTGATTTTGAAGGGACACCTCTGACGGATTCTGCGGGACGGCTGGCCCAGACCCAGAAGAAGGGCAGCCCTTTGGTTTGTTGTCTGATTTTGGAAGGGAAATCATCTCCCAAGCAACAGGAAAGGGTGGAATCCACAGGGCAGCTGGGTAGAGATACCCCCTTAAGGGGGAAATGGGGTGGGGGCTCTCCCCAATTTACTTGGAACCATGCTGCGTTCCGCGCAACAAAGGCAACTTCGAACTACAAATGAAATCACAGGGGGTTAACCTCCAATTCTGCCTTGCTTGGGTGGGGATCACTAGTCAAGCGTGACCACGTGCGCCCGCCCATGGACTGTGCAACACTCAGCTCAGTACTTTTGTGTCAGAGCTGAGGATAGGTGTCCTTGAGCGGAAAGTGTGTCATTCAGGCTCTGATATGATTGGCATTCAGGCTCTGATATGTTGGAATATGTCGGAGGCGCCGTTGCAAGAAACTATTCATAACACCCAAAGCCTAACGCCACCTTTGGATAGCAGTCGGAGACTTGCATACCACAACCAAAGGTGGCGTTAGGCTTTGGGTGTCATAAATAGCTTCTTGCAACGGCGCCTCCGACATATTCCAACATATCAGAGCCTGAATGACAAACTGCCCGCTCAAGGTCACCTAACCTCAGCTCTGACACAAACTGAGCTGAGTGTTGCACAGTCCTCGGGACCCTCTGAGAAGCACCCGGGAATGCGAGCGTCTGGATCCCCCCGCATCTAACTTCTGCTTGGTGGAAGCAAGCGAACCCCTGCTTTGCTAAAAAAAATCAAAGAAGATCCTCAGATGTCCTTACAAAATCATTTGGAATCTGGGTTCTGATCTAGTGTGGTCTCAAAGCACACGAGCCACTGACAAAAGTCACCACTACCCTACTGGACTTGGGACAGTTAGACACTGGATTTTGCGGAGTCTCCATGACCGTTACATAACGGGAATCACAAAGTGGGGTTCTATGTACATATAATTACCGAACATGTTCAAGGGTGCCATGAATACTCCAGGGAGTGAATTTCAATGGGGGACCCTTTGGCGGACATCATTTAGGCATTTAGGTGGGAATTTATTTCTTCACGTCTTGCAGACGGACCGACCAACAGATAGACAAACAAACAACCAAAGCGAGAAAAAGCGCGTTAGTACCAGTCCTCCTCGTGTCGGTTTTGTTCCAGACCTCCTGCACGCAACTGGCATGCAACGTAATTACTAGAACCGGCGCTTGATGTCCCGCACTCAGCAACCTGGTGGATTATTCATTAGGGGGGTGTTCGCCCAAAAAGTGAAGGTTTCCCTTGAAAATGCAGCCCTATTAATCAACCCGTTGATCAATTCTTGGTCAACGCTTGCCGAATCACACAGCTTGCAAAGTATTATCTCTCATGCTTTGACAGCAAAGGCGTACCAGGTCATGCAAACTAATTATCCTCGTCATGTCAACTTCAGATTAGGGTGATTCCTCCGAATATGCTCCTCCAGATTCATTCGAAGTCAACATTCGCCCACATCTCCCACGTTTCCACAAGTCGATAAACCCAATTTTGGACCTTGCCTCGTACGCGTGTCAAAGGGTCCTTGCAAGACATACTACACTTTCCAAGGACCCGCAAGCCCATCCGGCCTTCCTCGGCTCACCTGGCCGATTGAGATGAAAAGTCCGATGGCCATGGCCCCCTGCGCACGTGGAAAACTTGGCAAATGGTTTCAGCCAAGCACCAACCCAAGACCAAAGCGATCTTTGAAACCGATGGACTAGTTACCAAACCGATCGTTGAAACCAGAAACCAATGGACTGGTTACCAAAACGATCCTTGAAACCAATGGACTGGTGGACATTTGGGAAATAACGCCAACCCTACCCTTCAAGAAGGCCCGGGGCCTGCGGCTTGGGTCCAGGTAGGCCCTGAGAGTACCCCCTCCCCACTCCCGGATTTCGCTTCCGCCCGGTTTTCGAATCCACGTCTCCGTTCACGGGAATGCCTGGGATGAAGTCGTACAAGACATCCACAAAGTCCCGCTTTTTCGGATCCTGAGCTCAGTGACCTTTCCCCCCACCTTTGTTGGATGACATCATTTGCATAAGGATCCACCCTTCCACCTGACATGGATCCAAGGCCCTTTTAGAGGCAAATGGCTTCCAAGACCCCCCTTTTGCTAGGTGCCATGTACGTATACATATATATATATATACTATATTAATATACATACACATATAAGTATAATATGTTATGTACGTATCTTCAAGAGTGATCGCTGAGGCTCGGGCGGGAGGGTGCGAGTTTTTCTTGACGTATCGCCTGGGTCGGAGCTCCAGATCCAAATTGCAGCCAGCACAAGCTGTTGAAAGCGCTGAGCTTATCAAACCCCGGATGTCAAAAAGGGGGCCCTTTTTTGGTATCCCCTCGAAAAGACGGCGGGCGGGCGAGGCGCCAAACAACAAAGCCTCCATACTTTTCACAACGAAGCGGTGAAACAAAAACCGGCCCCTTCACATTTGGGGCCTATTTTCTGACTCTGCTTCGGGTTTAGTCTACCAGAAAATGCAAAACAAACTGTTGAAACAGATCAATCTTGTTGGAACAGACCACAGCGATGTCACAAATCCCTCACATTCAGTCTACAAGCCTTTGGGCATGGTACCTTTTGTGTGGGTGGCTTCAATCCAAAAGGATACCCATCATTCGGGGGCCGATTTTCTGACCGTATGGCAGTACGGCAAGGGAACCGTCCCGTACAAAAGCTCATCTATTCAAGTTTTGAGTTCTGTTGTTCTCGAAGGATCTCATCACAGCAAAACTCCATATCACAAGCGTGATGACGGCCACTAGCTGCGGAGGCAAGGTTCTAGGGTAAGTACCCCATTCTTTCCATTGAAGTCAACAAAAATCGGAGAAACACCACAGGGAATCGCCCCAAAAGAGGTCAGAACTCCACTTGTTTGCCTCACGCATCCACCCTAGATAGATCAGGCCCGGGCAAGGGCAAGTCGCGATCCTGCAAAGGAACAGGATCGACATGCCTGGTTTCAACTGGGAAATGCAAGCCCAAGATCAGGATCCCCGTGCACCAACATAAATCTGGTGGCAGAAAGCATTGCAAACTCAAATAAAGGTGGTCCAATATGGGAGTTTCATGTTCGGCGTCCCCAGTTGAAGAAACAGAAACTATACATCCGCTTAGCAACCCCCGCAGATTGGGAGTTGCCGTCGCATTTGCCAGGCCGCGAATGCCAAAGCGAACACATCCCCTGGATCGCGGTGATCTGAAGTACGCCCCGACCAATGCTGCGTGCACCATGCAATACCATCCTTCATTCACATTGCGCAGTTTTCTAAACCCATTTGCTGCCGAAGAGAAATACAACAACAATTGCGAAGGCGCTTCGCGGAGCTTTCGCGGCATGAACACTTCCCTTTCGCGTTGTTGAGATGAGGGAATCGCTTTCGCGGCACTCGTGTTGAGAAACGGCTTTGAAGTTTGCGCTCGCTTCAGGAAAGTACTTTCTGGAAGCGGACCCGCTTGGGCCCAGCGAAACTTGATTGGGCGACACGGGACAGACTGGAAAGTTGCAGGGGCCCTTTTCGTGTTGAGGGTACCCACCTTTTGAATTGGGTTGGTTTTGTACAAGGGGAATTCGAAGGGAGTTGGCACATCTGCATCCATTCCAAGATCCCGTCCTCCAAATACCCCGCAGAGTGGACCCCTCTGAAACAACCAGCTGCTATCACTCTGAAAACGAAACGGGGGTTTCCGATTCCACGCAGCTTTTCAACTCTGGCTTTTCTTTTGCTTTTTCTTTGGGCTCTCCGGATTTTCTTTGGTTTTCCTTTGGGTTTCCTTTTCTTTGGCCCCGGAAAAAAGCCGTAGATTTTCTTTGGGTTCTCCAAAGTTCCCACCGGAACGTGCTTTTCTTGGGTCCCGTCGGGTCCACGGATCGGACCAATCCGATCCGGCGGGGATCCTCCTCATGCAGCAGGTCCGCCCGCACGAAGAAGGCATGGGAGCCCATCTCCTTCCCAACAAGTGGGCGGCCGATTTTTTTCTGGCTGCGAGAGATGGGACCATCCAACTGATGGCTTCCCTTTGAGGGAATTTGCAGGTTCATTCCGTTTCTCATTCCCTACTTATCGCACCAGCAAGCTGTTTGCGTTGGTTTAAGGGGAAACGAAAAGGACACACTTGCCATGTTGGGCGGTTGGTTTGAGCCAAACCCATATTTCCTGAAAACTTCAAGCGATGCTCACCTGGGAGTCGAAAGGTGACGTCCGGGGGGGCAAAAACACACACATGGAAATTGGATTTGAAACCACCCCTGCACACTCAATAGAGAATCCCTTGTTGCCTGCTATAGTGGTAGCTCTTGACATCAACCCGGGCCCCCCCGTCTTCCGAGCAAAGTCAAGCGAAGCCCGAAGCCCCTGTCCAGCGCATAGGCGAAGGAATAGCCGTGGGCTCTCGCCAGTAGGGAGTAGGCCAGCAAAGAGCCTCGTTTGTTTCTTGGCCCAATGGGAACCCTGGATCTAGGTAGAAGCCTGGTTGATGTTGACAAATGGGGGTGTCCCCTTTTAGTGCGAGTGCAGACCACTGTTGAGGGTGCCCTTGTTGATAGGAGGAGTTGATTCCTCCGGGCTCAAGGTTACACTATAAATGTCATGTTTCATGCGCGCACGGCGCTTCAAGACGCAGAGTCACATAGGGCATTTTGGATTGCCCACATGCAGAGTGAAATTACGTGAAGGGAAAGCATGGAGGGTCCTTGTCGCTCCAAGTTCAAATAACTTGGCAGCAACACGTGATTGATTGTGACATGGGTATGGGTCAAAATTAAGCCAACAGGGGACCGCAGGATTTAGTCAATGTGTCCATTTACCAGGGCAAGCTAATTTGGGTTTTTGACCCGCAGCTATATGAGACTGCAATGCACATTCAAGCCGCCGATTGTCGGCGTTGGCTAAGACGCCAATCCCATAAGGACATTGACATCACTGGCAAGGGAAATCAAAGACCAAAGGCTGGACACTTGGGTATGAATCTCTGGGGAACACTTTGGTGGATCATTTGCTATGGGGCATTTGTCCAGCAGCAACTTCCAAGCCAGTGATTTCTGAAGGCGTTCTCCATTGAACAAGTGCAACTCACATCCACTAACATGGACCCTGGTCACTTTTTAATTCACCAACCGAAAATACCGAATTCTTGTGAAACCACCTTTTTGGGCGACATCGCAAACGCCCCGAAACGTGTCCTGGTGGCTTCCATGTGGACGTGTAAGCCATCCGAAAAGGGAAGGCCCGCTGACGGTCTGTGTCAAAATCCCCCGATTCTGGTGGCTTTCCTCTTGATTTCCCTTTCCGTCCCAGGGATACCCTGGGCAAAAATGTGCAAGCCATGCAGCTAAAACATACCCGCGCCTACTGTGTACACGGTGCCATCCCACTCCGCAAGCGGAGAATACCTCACCGGCGAGCCAGGCCCCGCCTCTGGAGATGGTTACCCTTCGGCTGAGACTCTGGGGTACACATAGTCCCAGATCTTTGTCTCACACTTCAACCCAAAAAAAAAGAAGATACTGTGAGAGACCCTATCCCATCCTATCCCCAGTGGGTTTGCCGAACTGTTTTGGGGTTTACGGTTTTTGAACTTCCAGAAAACCATAACGCGGGTGCGTCTTGTTTAAGGGGACCCCAAAATGGGTGGGTTTCCCTCTTGGGTCCTAAAATCAAGCTCAAACACATCCGTGTGGCTTTCACAACATGACTGTATTTGTTGTTGATTGGCATTCCTTTCTCCGCTTGAGAAAGAAACCAAAGGACGCCCGCCGGTCCAAATTCTCCGACAGGGCTGCTCCTTTTCTGAATAGAAGGCTGAAGGAACATTGGCAGTGGGAAACGAAGAGAAACCAATCCGAGGTTTTGTCAAACTCGGAGCAACCCATTGTGCTTGGCAACTCATTATGTTGAACGTCAATCACAAGATGTGAATCAAGCAGCCCAGAAATATAGAACACGTGGCTGCTGGAATTTGGAAACTGGCAGTCTGCGCAGTTGCGGCCAAATGGAAAGCCATCCCGGTTCCTGCTCTGCGAGAGAAGGAATCGTGATGTCTCCCAAGGTAATTCGGATGTTCTCTCCAGTGGTACGCCCGTGATCAAATTCTTGCACAGGGGTTTACAATCTTGGATCAACACCAATCTGCATTTAACGTGAGAATACGCAAACCTAGAACCAGGTTAAACCGTACATTAAATAAATGGCATATGCATTGAATAAGTACATTATATTCATGAATCAATCAACTCGGTCCAAATCAAACCTTCCGTGAGCTGCCCAGGGCAAACGGCCCAGAGAGGATTGGTTCCATGGGCCTTCAGGAGCCCATCCCGCAAGAAAACAAGGGGAACCCTGCACTGCACCACAGTTAACTACGGTGTTGTGGTCGGAAGTGGCTGCTTCACCGTTTTGTTTTTGTCTGTGATCTTTTTTGTTTGTGGCATCCACCAAGGCATGCTCAGATTCATCTGGAGACGGATCACTTGGCATTTAAACAATTTGGTGGGAATGTGAAAAAACAAGTAAAATCCGCTTTATTACAATCATCCCGAATCAGAATAGAAAAGGGGGATGTGGCTAGAGCCAAGCAACTTTTGCTGGTGTAAACCAGTGCTTCCGCTTACGTTACCATTTGAAGACAAAAGGCCAAATCTCTGGCTGCCTATTTTGGTGGACCCCAAATTTGGCTTCTGAATCCCTACCACTCTATGTTTGGGATCCCTGCCACCCTCATCCATTTGCCCAGCAATAACCATGGGAAGCTTTTGCCGATTGCCTGGGACCCACGTAGGGTGAGCGAACGTCTGGCGCTTTCCGAGCCGAAGAGCTTCCCAAGCCTAGCGCTATGGATTCACGAAAACAGCTGAAGTGGTTTCTCGCAGCAACGACCATAATGAACACAAAAACGACATCTAAAAAAAACAACATCTAAAGAACCACAAATCAACATCTAACAAACAACAAAACAACATCTAAAAAACACCAACCTGCGAAGAACCGTGAGACGTTTCTACTTTTCTACTCGCAACGCCTGGGATCTGGGGGCGCTTTTGTGGAGATCCCGCCTCACGACCTTCGCCTCCTGGAGGGAGATGTCGGGGTTGAAATCCACCGCCACCACCTTCTGCCCGAATCCGGTTCAGGGCGCATGGACGAACCCCGGACACCCAGGAGGAAACCACCTATGTACCTGCAAGTTAAACATGGAACCCAAAAGGAGATCCTCCAAAGAAGGTTCCTCCAAAGCGGCTTCGTGAGTGCTTGCTGTGTGCTTGGTTTTCGTGGGGCGCCTCAACGCGAGCCTCGAGAGCCACGGGCCGATCTATCGGCACTGGGATAACTCTTGATCGGTTAGCTCAAGCACGTGCTCAAAGACTGCTGCTCCAAATGTGGAATGCGTGACATGAGTTTCCTAAATGAGCCACAGTCAAAACTCGTCCAACAAATGTATTGTCTTTTCCTTAGTGAGCCCCCTGCTGCTCTCCGGGTAGTATGTTGCAGAGTATTGTGTGTTGTGTCCCTTCCAGGCTTCAGGATTTGGCAGAGGTGTCGTGTGCAAGCGCATTGTTTGTTTGCGAGTCCCTTGGTTCTCCATGCAATTGCAAGCAAGACTGGCCCGTGACACGTTCAATCAAAACTGCTTGATCATGTTGACCCGGTCTCAAATTTGTTTCCTCCTCAAATCCAAAGGAACGCTCATCCAAAGGAAGGCGCTCGAAACCACCACCTCTGAAAATTTTCGGACCCGCTGGTTCCTAGCTTCGGCTTCCTCGGCAGCAGTGAATCCCTCGGGTTCTGCCCATAGGTAACGCAAGGCAACCATCTTGCAGGTGGGTAAAGGCCTAACTAAAGGGGCACCATCATGTTTTGCTTTAAAGCAAAAAAACGTGGCTTTCTTCTTGTCCCTTTAAACCCCCTTTAAACCAATCCGAAAAAGAAAAAAAAAGTATCGAGCCTCACAAAGCACACCTAGATGGGTTTGTCTTGTTTTGAGGGTACCCTTGAGCACGGTCACCAAGAGCATCAGCCCTGCCAAATGCTAGCCCATCACCTGGTCGATGCTGTCCCGCAGCTGCAGAGCTGCTGGGGATATCTCGTGCACCAACTGTTTCGCGCCTTGTAGCTGAAGAGCAGCGAGTTCCTATCTCCGCAACAGCACCAAGTCCGAGACGGACCGGACATATAGATGCCTCCGCTCCGACCATGCAGGCGGGACTGTCAAAGTTGCTGTCCCGACGGGCGGCCCCGCGGTTCCGCCGAAATGGGCAGTCGTGGCCTACGGCTGATGTCCACAGGCGTCCTGCGCGAGGCCCAGGCGCGTCTCCATCTCCCTGGTTCATGAGAAAGACCCATCGCCCAGCCATCTCCAAAGAGATCTTGAAGGGAAACCTGAGGGACAACCAGCGTTTTGTGGGCTCCCCCCTATTCGGAGGCCTACCCCATTGGGACCCCTTTCTGAGAACCGCGAAACTGGCCCCGCCCTCGCGAACCGCCCCGCCCCGCTCGGCCGCCCGCCCGTGGCTTGAAGGTGCCATCCGTCAGCAGCGCGCGCCAGATCCTCAACAGAACAAAAACATGGCCCGAAGTCTCCTTCTGAAGGTCACATACTCGATTTCTTTGGGGGTCATGACACCACTTAAGGGTGAAGACTGAAGTCCAGCAGGAGCAATGTGTATACTCACACACAGCTACATTGATGCGCAATTCGAACAAGAGCCGCACAACGAACTCGACCCGTGTTGGGCGTGTTCGCGCCCTCACACCCTCAAACGTGGGATATTCCACCCAACCCTGGTGTGAATTCCCATGAAGGCTTGTTTGAAAGCCTGGGTTCTTACAAGCAGAGGGCTTCAAACAATCAAGTGCCCTTTCTTCTTCTTAGGGCCATAGGATAGCCGTCGCAGAACACCGTAATGCATGCTCAATCAATAGAAAAAGGGTCAAAAGAGAAATACTCGCTCGGATCACACTTGCCCTAACAGTTCACAACACCTTGCCATATGAGCATTCATTCGGGGACCCTTTGGACATCATTTCGCTGGGAACTCGTTTTCTTCGTCGCATCCGCATCCCATCCGTTGGTCCATGGCATTAGATGAAAACCTAAAAAGTATGTTCTTGCTTTGGGGCAACTTCTCGGGACTGACAGGGAGCCTTAGATTTTCTACACCTGAACATTGCAACTTGTAAATGGTTTCCCTGAATTTTGGTGTTGAAAAAGCAACATGTTTCAAACGGTTGCAAAATGGTCACATCTTTTAAGGAGCCCTGGACAGGCAACAAAGAAACACCGGAGCCCAGTCGATCCGGTGCTGTCTGAGTGGATTGATTCTTGGCCCAACCCCAGGGTATAATCATACACTGCTCAGATCTGTCATTCGTCGATCTGAAAAAATATCAACCCTTGACTTGTGTAAAGCTCCCCATGGGGCCCTGAAACCAATTTGTGAGGCTCGGTACCCAGTTGTTGCTTGGGTTTAGGTTTTCCCTTTGTGCTCGGTACAAACAGTTTTTGCTTGGGTGAGTTTAAGAGGGAAAACGCGCAGCCCGGTCCAGTAGTCGTTGTAGTCCGTGTCGATGGTGAGCAAGTCGAAGTCCCTTGGCACCTCGTACCTCGGAGCTTTTTTGCAGCTGGGTCTGCATCTGATAGAAGCGCCGTCGTCTACGAACCAAGCCAGGGCCCCCTACATTTCTTCTTAACCAAATCAACACCAAAACAATATCACCAAAGAACGGACCAAAAGGTGATGCTTACAACGAAACAGGGAATTCTGGGATTCTGAGGTCACTTATACAAATACCTGTGACTACAACCTTCGTGCCAATGTAGCACTTGTGGCAGGGTACCTGGAAGATCAGTGTCGTTTTGAAGGGACCCTTTGTCACTTGTCAGGGGTGTGGGTAGTTGAGCACCCTTTTGTGGACATAATTTGCATGGGGCTGTAGATGTTCCCCGAACATCATAGACCCCCCACTTCTTGATGAAAACAAACAAACAAGTAAGCAGGTGCCAAGAAACTTCCAATGACCCAACAACAGTTCTTACAGGTACTTCACAAGTGCTTAGCAACCATGGGTATAAACCACTTATCAATGGCACCCACTGCAAATTAACGTCGAAGCCAATACGGTGTCTCCCAAGAGCAGACTCCATGGATCCTTCATTGTGTGTTCCTCCCATCATTGATGGCCAACTATGGCTGACCACCTATACTTTAGTCGGGTTCATTGCAGGCCTGATGCAAACCAGTGCCCATAGAGACAGCCCGCTGGCTCTGAGAGCTGTTCTTCTGGAAGAGTTCCACCACGTTCTCGGCCGTGACAAACCTGCGCGAATCGCCAAAACATGCAGGTGCTTCCAAGAGTGGGATGAATAGGTTGCATGGTTGCGTCCTCCTTCTCGTAAAGATGACCATCTGGATTTTGCGGTCTGCCCCCAAAAAAGAGCGTAGACAAGCTTGGCGAACCCGAACAAAACGGGTTCAAACACACACTGGAACATTGAGTGACGCATGGCGTCCAAGGAAAATTCGTCCCCGCGGTTCCGGCTCCGCTCTCTTCTCTCCGGCTTTGGGCGCCGGCTCTGTGGCGATCATGGCCACACCCGGGCAGTCCCGGCCTGAGAGGTGTGGGGAGCGTTGCTCGGAGACACAAAATTCAGATGGCGTTGCATGGGAGAAACAGCCAGTTTCAGGTTGCCGACAGATGTGTTTTGACAAAAGAACTACAAATCTGATGTTGTAATACTGTAAGCGAGCAGATTTGGATCCCAGTCAAGGCTTGCTTCTCGAAATGAATGGACACGTTTAAGCGCGCCACCGTTTCTGGAATACCTTAAGGCCCTGTTGACCATTCAAGGTCCCAACCTTAATCTCAGGGACATGGGAGGGACCTCTCCCTAAACATGCTCAGCCAAAAAACGGCCCTGCCATGAAGTGCCCAACTACCTTGGTGGGCACCCAACTGGCATTTCCCCCTGGTTGCCTACTACAGCGGTATCTGAAAGCACTGTGCCGGGCAACCAGTGGAAACCCCACTTTCAAGCTGAAGCTGGAGCTCGTACCTCCGTCAAAGAAGCTGGAAGCACGGAGCTATTTGTCCAATCTAAAATATTAAGAGACCATGCTTCGACGCAACACATGACTCCTCATGGTGTAACAGGCAACAGTACCTGGAAGCACGGGGTTGTGTCCCCTGACTTCCCCGGGTGGTTTCCCCTAACCGGCGACGTTCCAAGGGTAGACTTCACTTCAAATGGTTGCCCCTGAGAACCTTCCCGTGCAGGCAAATGTTAAATATAGGTAGCTGAAACCGCTTTGTCAAGCCATTGTCGAAACATGCATCGTTCAGCGGTATGTGCCTCCTGCCTGATTGACTTTCTGCCTTGGTTTTCATCCACTTGCCCTCGTGACCACTAGACTCCCAGCAAAAGGTCGACACTTTTGGCTCCACGAAAAAAACAGATTTGATTCCACAAGTAGGCAAAATCAACACATCTAAACTGCATCAACACTAAACAAACTGGGTGAATCATGAGTTCAATTCACTTCATAGGCTTGATCAGCCTAGTGTCTCTAAGAGGTTCTGCCCTTTTGACTCGACTTTTGCTCCCGAAATTCCCCCCCGCGCCCTCGGGGTCAATTTTGGGCCCTCCGGCAGCCGCCGTGAGGTGTCTCCCCAGGCTGCGAGTCCAGCAGCACACCGCGCCAATTGCAGAACTCCTTGCAAGGGCGACACGTGTCTCACAAAACCGGTGGCAACAATTTGTTTCATGTGCCTCGAAATGTCGGTCTCGACCATGGGGATCCGGGACTCAAAGTGAGGCGTTTGGAACCCCAAAAGTGTGCGGCTGTCTTTTGGGGGGACGAGGAAGGACCTTCTTGGACCCTGGTCATCTGGGGTAGTCTCCAGATAGAGGGACGCCCCAAAATGTGTTTACTTTGGCTTCCTTGAACCAACCTGGAAAGAGGTACCCTCAAAACGAGGCACCCCTGTATGTCTGATGTTCAAGACTGTTCCCTCGTAGCAAGGGCAGCCCCCTTACTGCTCCTTGCGCCCACGGCACTATCTGCAACAGTTCCCTCTGAATCTTGTGGTTTCCTAATTGTACTCCCTCCAGTTTCCATTTTGAGACACACCCAGCTGACTACCCAAAGCCAGTTCTCCCTCGCCCACAGCTCCCGCAGCACCGCGCTGTTCAGCATTCCCGGCTTCCGGGACCCGAACTCCACCTGGCGATGGGGAAGGGGGATGGCGCGCCATGCGCGCACCCCAGCTCGCCGAGCCGTACTCTGAAAAGCTGCGGGTAGGCGTGCCTAGAGCGGGAAAAAACAAAAAAACTCACGCAAAGACGCTGCCAATTCACGGGCCGTTGGATGGAATTCGCGTTTGCCGACCTCAACGCGTTGCGCGGCTCACTTAAGAAACCCAGCCATGTGCCCAAAATGGGTCTGAACAGTCTGCAGCTGCGCCCTCGCTTTCCTTGTACGAGATTGGCACTAAGCCTGGGGAAACAAGCGTCAGTGACAGAAACGAGAGGTGAGATCAAGACCTAGCACGAAAGGGCTTTACCTGAAGCAAAGTGCATAGCCCGCGCCCATTGGTGCTTGGGGCGGTCTCCCGCTAACATTTGATTACCCGGGTTTCAGGTGTGGCTCACTCAACGGGGAACCCGTAAAACAAAAGGACGCAAACTCCTGCCTGAAAAGAGTCCACAAACTCACCCGCGGAACAAGATGCAGCGCGCATCTTGCGAAAGAAAAGGAAGCAAACATGCAACGAGCGAAAGGAAGAAAAGAGTAACCGACGAAAAACACAAGAAGAAACACACACATCAAATAGATACCGCCTTTCATGGCGCAGCGTTGCGGAGAAGCAGAAACGGCAAATCCGTGGTGGCTGTGCCCTAGGGTGGGGAGTTGTGAACCTCGCAAGGTTCTGAGCGTTGGTTCAGGTCTTCGGTTCCCCTATGTTCCCCGTTGCGGTGTTTGGGCTTAAATGTAGGAGAATGTGAAGGGTGGAACTTGGGGCCATAAGGGAAAAGGGAAGTTTGACTTTCTAGGTTCATGTTAAGTATGTCTTGTGATTTGTGTTGGGGTTTCCATCCCCAGATGTTGCAGAGCACCTTGTTTCCAAAACCGCAGGGTTCCATCCCATGGTGCAGGAAAGTGGCTCGGGGGTTCTGGCTTGACATCTTCTGCTGGGTTTGCCCAAGAACTCCGAAATAAGCTGGAGACAAGGCAAGTATGCGCCGTCAATGTTCACCACCAAACCGAGTTGTTTAATGCGTTTCTGCCATTATCCAAAGACCTACCAACCTTTGACGACTTTGGGCTTATCCATCGAAAACCGTCATCCAAAGCTCCAACTGACTACTCACATCTACCAACCTTTAAAGCGTTTAGGGCCGACGCGAATTGGCCCCAAATGAGGAATGAATCAGCCCAAACATTAGGCATGAAGCGGAGATAAGGCCATGACTTTGCAAGGTCGATAGGCCCAAACTCAATGATCCCTTACAGTTACTTCAAAAGGGATCCCTGTAGCTACATTCCCAAAACCCCTCAAACGATTCACTGAGAACCAGAAAGTCGAGGTTGGGCCAAACCTGGGCCACTCCTGGCGCTCCCAGCGCCAGCGTCGTCTCGGCAGATCCCTCTTCACTGTAACAAGGCCAGGTCCGCGTAGAAGGGATGCTGCGATCCTTCCTGGGCGCAGGTGCTGGAAGACTGGTTGGTCAAAGTGCGACCGAGGTCTCTGTGCGCCTAGAATCGGCGACTGGGTCATGAGCCCTTAGGCATGCCCCGAGAAGTTGCAGGGTCATGGAGACTCCATGTCGTGAACGGCAAAACCGCCCACTTACGAAACGGGTCCAATAAACAAGGAACATAACTTTGAATTGGCCCCAGAAGGGCATTGCTTAAAATACCCAAATGCATGTTTGAGGGATTTGGGAGCTTGCCAATCAATCAGGCGACTCAAGGCTTCCAAAGCAACCACCCTTTCTTTGCCCACCACACTGCAAACCAATACCTCAGGGAAAGCTACGGCTGATAGATACAAAGCTGGTGCTCAGCCAGCTCACAAGGCTTTCGACTTCTGACGCATTGACACAACTCTGGGGTACACCAAGCATAGTATGTTCAGATTCTGTTGAATATTCGGTCAGCCTTAAAGACATGAACTATCGGAGACCCCAGTACTATGAGGTGCGACTGCCATTCGGAGGCTGCGAAACATGGCCCAAAGGATGTCGTGGCAGGCCGCGCCACCTTTTTTTGGGAAGCCTGGCATACCTCCACAAGAAATCGTACACTGGGGGGACCTTTGCGTATTTATCCGTGGACCCTCAAAACCACGGCTTGAACATGGGATATTGCGTGATACTGCCCCAAAACTTTGGCGGGTAGTTTGAGGGTCCAGGTAAATGTTTCGCCACTCATCGTGACGCCAAAGAGAAGCCAGGCGGGCTAAGAGCCCTGTCTCCGAGCTATTTCTCTGCAGCGGCAATCAGAATGCAACAAATCTTCAGGGAAACCAAGCACCCGTTCCCAAAGTGCACATTCTACCCCCACATCGGTGAGCTCGTGATTTGCTCAAATCCATGGCCTGCCAAACAGGTCTATTGGCCCGTGACGTCACTCAAAATATGCCGCTAGTGAACATGTTGGGCTGTGATCAACAATGAGTTTGTGCGTGGTTTCCCGTTCGCCCACAATTCAAAAGGAAAACTTTGCGGGTATCACTTCAACAGACCCGTACAAGGCTTGGAGACTGCTGCAGCAACCTGAGCGAGCGTCTCATGCAGTTGGGACTGACGAAGAAATCAGCGGACAGTGCCATGCGGCAGAGCTCCGAGTCGGCATCTTTGATCGGGGTGCCGTTCCAAAAACACATGGTCCTTTCGTCGGCCAAGCGTCTCTGAAACCCACGTTCCGGAAGATGGCACGCAGCACCTCGTGCGAACGTGTGGATTGTGGCGAATCCCCAATCCGAAACCCGTGAGTGGGGCAGGGACCCGAGGGCCTTGTTTGGTTCCTATCTGGTTTGATCCTTGGCGTTTTCGGTACGAGGGACCAGGCATCACGGCCCAGGAGGAAGAGCCCCAAACTGGCTTCGGTTTTCTTGATGGAAAAACCCTTAAAACTACGAAAGAGTGGTACGTTCCAAAAGAAACACCCACTTAGTAAGATATAACCATAATAGAACTGGTTGGTATCTGAGGTTGGTCCCCTTGTAGCCATGTTCTTGCCGGCAACTGACATGTTTTGACGGCAACCGCACGTTGATCAAACTCAGTTCTGTGGCCTGGGTCGTGGAGATTTGGAAAGGAACCTCACATGGGTAAGTGTATTCCTTCCGGTTGGTTTGAAGGGAAACCAAAAGGAAAACAAAAAATGAAGTCCCCCCATAGAGTTTCCCAATCTACAACTGTGCCTTTTTGAGGCTCTTGTTGTTGGTTCGGGAGACCAACTTCCCGTATTAACTTCAGGTCATAAATCCCTCTTGACCCCAAACCGTACCTGAGAGAAAACTGTGTTTGAGGTAGCTTGTTGTTTTGTTGGTTTGCCGCGTGGGTAACCCGGATCACACCATGTGTCAAGTGAGCTTCGTACGAGTTCTGCTTTCCGGGGTCCCGTTTCGGCAGACACGCTCTCCCTCGGCACGCGGCTCCATCCTGACCACACTGACTGCAGACCTCGAACCGGCCAAGCGAGCGGGGTCGGACCATGTGGTTCCAAACCTCAGGTTGAAACCCCAGCATCATCTCACTTGCCCAAAGGCCCTGGAAACAAACCGTTTTGAACCTTGACTTTTCATGGAGCTAAAACGGGGAACCACAAGGTTAAAAGGGTTGAATTGCTTGGGCAAGGGCAATTTAGATGATGAAACTCCTAGGACCAAGATGGTGTTCAAAGGCTATGGCGAGTTCCAGACGGGCCGAGGAATTGCCAAGCACTGTCGTTTTGGTGCCGCGCGAGATGACAGGGTCCCGCAAGTTCCATTTGGGCGCAATTCGGTGAATCGCCACATCTGTTTTCAAAACGGCGCTTCTTGTGTGGCAGCGCCACCGAAGAGCTATTCATTGGTGAGGATTTGCAGACGGCATGCTTCCGTGTCGTTCAAGGCAAAACCATAAGAGTCACAAGGTTCGCGTGGATTTCAGTCTTGGGCGGCAACTGGCGCTTCAGATTCGTGCAAATCAGAACTCAGTGCTTCATAATGGTTATCAAGGTTTTGGCAACTTCTCATCTGCAGCATGAAGCAATCCGTGATCTTGCAATGCATAAGCAGGCCGGCAAATCGCATAGCCATACAGAGTGATGGCAACCTACGCCAGATGCTGGTTGCCAGGGCAATCAACGCCAACGGTTGCAACAGCCTCCAGGAATCAGCTCAGCAGTTGAGCAGCGCTCACAAGCAATGATGGGCTGTTGCGCAACATGAGGAAAGGCGTTGCAACCCTCATCTGGACATCGCGTTGAATGACGATGACTCCATTCCAAGGGAAAGGCGCTTGCCCAAAAAGGCAACTGTGGAAGTCCGCAGCAATGGCCTTAAAATCTGCTTGGGTGGGCCCACCGCAAACAATAGTTTTGGGCCAAAGTTGAGAGCCAAATAAGACGCCGACAAGCACGGCCACTTCCCCAACCATGAACAACCGCGAACCATCGTAGCTTACGTTTCCTGGCTCCCTGCCTGCAACGTTTCACACGTTGGCGCGTCTTTCTGGAGCAGGGTTGTGGGATCAAGGGGTTTATCCCCACTTCTGTGATACAAGGGAATCCTCTCTTTGTATGGGGGGCTGGTCTTTGGGAGGCCCTTTTTGTTGTATCACACACAGAAGTGGTTATTTCCCACAGCCCTGTTCTGGAGGGTGCCATTTGTTGGGCGGTTTTAAAGGACAGCCCGACATGAATGCGAAACACTACGCCTCCTTGACGCGCAGACTCCTGCCATGAAAGAGACACGCGACATGCTTGAGTTCGCGCGCCGTGGCTGAACTTGAGAGTCGCAAAGCCCGCCACGCGCCGGGCGCGAAAACAACTGACTTACTTGCGCGAGTGGTGGCTGAGCCCTTATCAAGGGCATGGCGCGCATGGAGTCCGGGAGCTAGCTGAGACTGAGTCGCCAGCTGCCTGGTCACTCTCGCTTTCGGAAATCCCGCGCCCTGGGGCGTCTCATCTTTGCTCCAAAGCAAGGCGACGCGCTTGCAACACAAGCTCTGCAGCGCGTGTCTCATAACGCAGCACGCGCTTGCTAGCTGGGAAGAGCAGTCAACGAACCGGCTGGTTCCGACACCCTCCATCCTGTCGTGAGGCGGGCTCGGCGCAGGCCAGCTGGCGTACACGTTTCAATTATTGTACAGGTGTACACTGGACGATTGGCAGGGGGGTTCATTGAACCTGCAAGTGTCACGGTAGAACAGGGATCCTTAGATTTTCTACACCTGAACATTGCCTTGCAAGTGGTGGTGTCCCTTTATTTTGGTGGAAAAAGCCATGTTTCAAACGGGCAAAATGTATCTTTTAAGGAGCCCTGTAGAACACAAGCCTTTTAACACTTGTGTGTCTGTTGCAGTACCTCGGGCTTGTGAAGGGAAACCTGGGTGTGTGTGTGTGTTTTTTCGGCTCTGAACGAGGACAGCTACCCAATGCAAACGGTTGGCATTTCTCACCTGCGGCCCATAGACATCGGTTCCTCAAAAAAAAATGAAAACTGAGACAAGAAAATTTCGGGCCTTTGAAAGGTCTTGGTTTGCCAAAGGTTCACTGGCCAAACAATGCGTTGTTCCACTAGGGCCTTTGAAAAGAAGAAGCAACTGACCAGGAGATAAGTTTTGCACAGGGCGGGAATTAGCCCGCCGCAAATAGCTTGGGAAGAGGTGGAAACAGGTGCTAACTTTCAGCCTTCAGCAACGGCTCCAGTTGATATTTGCCACGCTATAGCTCGTGCATCGCCTGGACAAAGGATTGCCTTTCCCTTTGGTTCGACACCCTTCACCCTTTCTATTTGGCCCTCCCCCTTCTCGCTACCTTTTCCTTTCAACCCTCCATCTCTTCTTTGCCAACCCTGTGCGCCGCAACTGCGCTGAGCAAGGGTGGGCTTAGGGTGGTTCAGGGTTTGGTTGGTTTAGGGTTAGTTTTGGGTTAGGTTGATTTAGGGCGCTGCCGAAAAAAGAGCGGGCAATGGGTTTGCCACCAATAAAGGTGCCTCTTCTATAGTGGTAGTTGGGGTCCACTGGCCAACATGACCAGACCGGTGTTAATAAATGTATATATATATATATATGTATATATTTGCGGTCACTTCCCAGGACCCACCTTTCTATTTCTTGCACCTAAGAGAATCGTTTGCATATGTTCAGATTCCACTTAGTTTGTGGGCCCACATGAAGAGAATCATTTGCATATGTTCAGCTTCCCACTTGGTTCGTGGGCCCACATGAAAAGAACCATTTGCACATGTTCAGTTTCCCACTTGTTTCGTGGGCCCACATAAGTAAACCATTTGCAGATGTTCGGCTTCCACCTGGTTTGTGCAAATTAAATGTGTAAATATATAAATATAATACATATGGTTGTGAGTGGGTCTCTACACCTTGTTGAGGTATGACACATCATCATCCTGCCACAAAGGTATCTCTCGTTTTGAGGGATCGAACATTCTTTTTGGGAGTATCTGGAAGGGTCCCTTCCCAAAGAAACCGATCGACTGATCGACTGCCGGGTTTGCCATTTCTGGAGGTCTGGACTCACTCGGCTATCAGCTCGCGACTGCGAGCTCGGCTCTTTCGGGCGACATAGCCACCATCCTTAGGGTAATTTGGGGTATTTTAGGGTATGTGTGTGTGTGTGTGTCTCTTTTTTACGTTTGACCCCACACCCCCTTCAAAACCACTCAAACAAGGGTACCCTCTGGACACCATGAAAAAAAAACAAAAAAACAAACCTGGCAGATGCATGGTGTCAGTGGCTAGCACCCAAAAAGTGAGTATTTGGCGTAGGGGGTCTGTAGAGCTCGAGCCATGTCACGTCGCCCATAAAACGGGCACTCCAGTGATGCCAAGCAATCACAAGTACCTGGACCCTCAAACTACCTAGAGTCTTCATGACGTTCAAAATGGGCACGTGATCTCGTTTGGAAGGGTCATGGAGACTCCACGTTTAAGGGTAGTTGCTTCGTTCGGGTAGCTCAAGGGCTTCGCCGGTAAAACGGAGATCCACTGCGCTGCACATGGAGATGTGATTTGCCACTGGCACGGATTCGTTTTGGCCTCCCTTCCCTAGTATGACGGTGCTGAGAGAAGGCCTGAAAGTGTCAGGCTTCCCTCCAGGCAGCCCCCAGCAAGCACTTTAGCGCATCGTCTTGCTGTCATGTCCATCGATCCCGGCAGCTCGGTGGGACGTCGGCCAGAAGGGCTGCGCGACCAGCATTTCGAGCCGGCCGAGCACCGCCAAACCTGCCCCACACCCGGCCAGCGGTGTGAAAGCTGGGATGGTGCTTGTCCGACGAAAGCACATCAGCTTCAGGTAGGGCTAAGTGGCAGGAGACACGAAGGCTCCCCGCCAAGCATGTTGGATGTTGCAACTTGAGCCATGTTCCAACTCAAGCCGTCTGGTTGAATTCCCCTTTAAATGATTTGACTGAAAGCCCTGGATCCCATAGACCCCCGATCCCGGCGGACTCAGCGGTGTGTCTGAATTCGTGAGGCGAATGCCAGTGCTCCTTCCCAGTGCTGGCAGGTAAAGCAGGGAAGCCCATTGGAAAGCTTTTGTTGAGAAATCTCTGGTTGCCTGCTCCAGTCTCCATGACGTATCTGGGTATACGACCGCATTTTGAAGGATGGAGACTCCAGGCAAAGGAAACTGGAAGCCTTACTCATCCTTTGCGGTCGTGCCGAGATGCATCCGATTCGCGGCCAAATCCGAGATCCGGACTTCACTTGCCGCAACCACATCACATGGGCAGCCGGACGTCTTGTAGTTTCACGCACCAATTATTTCCAACTTTATCTTTCCAATGGGAGTTCCCCTGGTTACATTCTGTGATACCTGGAAGGGTTAGACATGCGCGATCACCCGAGCCGATGGTGGTAAGACCTCTCAACTAGTTGCACGGGCACCCCCACAAAGTGTGCCGTCGCGCGCTACGTGAGCCCCGGTCAACACTCAGCAGTTGACGATGAGCTCCAATCAAACTACCACACCACTTTTCAGGGGTGCTCCTATTTGACAAATGGATTTAAAAAAAAAAAAAAAAAAAAAAAAAAACGCCCCAATACCCATTCTCTACCCAAAGGTTGCTTGGTCATTTCTTCGTTTTTGTTCCTCGCAACCCTACTTTTGGCAGACTCGGCAAATCGAGGAACACGGGTACGAACACTGCCCGAACCTGCCGGGCCAAAAGCTGAAACCCCAGAACGTCCGTTTCTTCGTTATCCTTTTGCAAAAATGTCACAGGCGCTGGTCCGCAAATGTCTCTAAAACCTTAAGATGTCGAACTGAAATTCCACATGTACCATGATACCTGGATGAATTATATATAATATTCCGCCAACCTGAAATAAGGTGGTTGGGGGGCTATTCCCCACATAAGCCACCATTTGGGGTGAGGTCGTGTTGAGGTCGTTGTAATTCACCCATGGCGAACCTCGAAACGCCCAACGCCAGATGGGCGCCGCTTCGGAGCTCGGCCCCCGGGCACGCTCCTCAAGGTCGTGGGAGAGCTCCCGCAGCCAGGGTCTGGCGGGCGAACTTCAACGAGCTGCAGGGGATGGAGCAAAAACCGAAAGATCCGAAAGGGCCAAAAGCCAAGTCAGGCCAAGTCTGGCGCAAGCTGGGGAATCAAGGCTACGACTGGCAAAAGTTGGGGGGATCAAAGCTACAACGAATCCCATGGGTTAGGGTCCAAATCGCGGTCTTGAACCCTAGGCTTCAACCCCACCCATTGAAATAGCCAATGGTGCACCACCCCCGGCCAAAGGTGATTCTATTCCCTGGCGAAATCCCCGGGGCCCGGCAAGAATCTTTTTACATGAGTCCAAGCCGCAATTCGCTTCATTCTCCTTGGCGTCCGAACACAAACCGCTGCGCAAAAACGAGGACCCTCAACAGGCTCAGGACACCCTCTTCCAACTTCTTGGTGTGGCAAGAAGTGGCTTGAGTGAAATACTGGCAAGCTTCCAATTCTGCAACTTTTTGGGCAAGTGGCTATCCAGCGTTTCCATCTGTACAAAAAAGCAAAAAACAACTTCATTTCGCCTTTGTGTGTCGTTGATTGAGGCGCCCGTTTTGTGGTTGCTAAAACAGACACCCCCCACGGATCCACCGGGTACAATGCCCATTTCCGGCCTTCTGGGATCCGGAACTCGCCGCTCGTGGGCCACACACCAACCTGTCAACCACCCCCCCGCCCCCTGCCGCCCCCCCCCAGGTCTCCCCCGTTAAAAACACATGGGTCCAGTAGAAGATGGGCTGTTGGGCCATTCAAGTGGGGTTTTGGGTACATTAAAGTGACACCTTCAAGGCCTCTACATGGTTTTAAGGCAAACCGCCCCGCCAAAAGTCACTTGAAAAACCCCTCAGAGTGATGCACCATTTAAATTGGGAACCCTCTGATGGACACCTTCTACAATCGGAGTGATGCCCAACCATCTTCACAGCGTGTTCCTCATATCCAAATGAAGCCCTTGTATTGGAAGGCAGGTCAATCATACACGGGAAACAAACATGGAAATGAGTTCCCTTTCCGTGGGTGACTAGGGTAAACCTAGTTAACAACTTCTCTGACGTACCCTGCCGCCCTGTGATCTTTGAACCGGTGCTTGTGGGCATGGCTTCACTTCGCATGGCGTGCAAGCCATTTCTGGGAAGCCATGGCACTTGTAAGTAGGAACCCCTCCAAAGGAGTTCGTGGCAGGTACTCGAGCCAGTAAAAATTATGCAGGAACCCTCAAAGGGCACAGGAAATTGAGTGAATCCCCCTTGTTCTTGTCATGCCCCTCGAATTCCTTGACCAACTCAAACCCAACACTCCCGCAAATGCACATGGCAACATGTATGGCCACTGTTGTGTTGCGCCTCAACACCAAACGTTGACCCTAGGCTCATGCAAAGGTTGCCTGGGATCCCTTCTTCCCCCAAACCTGTCCCAGTGCCCATAACCTCTTCCCAGTTTCACCTCTGCAAAAGAACCTTTCCGCCTGAGCGGATTGGCCCCAAAAAAAGGTTCAAACAAAAATCATTTACCACTCAAAGGGTCTTACCCCCCCCCCCCCCCGGGAGAAAAGAAAAGGTCTTCCCAAAAGGGTTTTAAAGTCCAGCCCCCCTCCCCTCCCCAAAAAAAAAGAGATCAAGTCCAGCAACTCAGGCAGCGAGCTTTTGCATATCGCTACCACAAGCAAATCGATGGATCGATGGCCAAGTCGCTGGTGGGATCCTCAGAGCCCATCACCTCAAACCGAGAAGCGTCGACCCCCGGCCAACTCTGCCCTCTGGACAACATCCCTCGCTTGCTTTCTGCTCCCCTGCTAAAAGTGAATAACTTTTAGTAGCTTAGTGGAAAACCCATTCGCTGGCAAAAAGTTAAAGTCCTAGCATCCAAGTAAAATGTACCAAAGATCCTGCAGCTGGGCTATCCTGGTGGATTTCAAACCGGCTTGGATACAAAATCCGCCTAGCACCAGGTGGAGGCCCGGTGGGCTTCAACACGGCCTGTTCGCACCAGGAGGATCCCAGTTGTGGGAGTTCATGTTTCATCTATTCCAAGTGCTGCGAAGTGGAGATTGCCCCGCAAGTGCCTCCAACATGGTTGGCTCACAGGCAAAAAAACCTTTACAAAAAAGTTGTTGGGCTACAGGCCCAACCCCCCAGTAATCCCATGTACCGTCTTCTGTTTGGGAGGCAAACAAAGAGATTCCTGCCCTTTGTTTAGATCAAATTGAAAGATTGAAGGGTTTGCTTCTGTTTCCTGCGGCGCCAAACACGGATCTTCTCCAGAAAGGAATACTGTAGTTCGAAAGTGTTCTTCGCAGGCTTGTGTCTCTTTTTGTTGCAACCTGTACCGTTTTATGGCACGAAGTAGCTCAAGCTTGCGAACAAGATCATAGGCTCGGTCTTTCAGCCGTCCTTTGTGACACATTGTCCAGAGCTTGATCAGAATTGGCCCGACCCCTTGTTCAACATGTTTACAACTATTACTTTAACAACTTTCATCAAGCACCTCATAGTCCATGTCAGGCAATAGCAAATTGCCATGCAAAAATATCCCGGATGGTACAACACCGTCTCCTTTCAATTGCCAAGGGAACCAAGGTCTGGTTGCTTCAGCAAATTTCACCCAAACCCAAAAACCTGGCAGGTATCCAAGGAAGCAACAGTTTAAAGAACAGCTTCAACTTGCTGCTTGCCTACTATGGCTGACTGGCTCAGAGGCAGGGAAGATGTCCGAAATAAACAGGGCTTTCCTAAATGCCTCCTGTTGAGTTTGCCATCATGGAGAAGCAGTGGTGCAGCTTTCATCTTGACTCCCTTGTCGAGTCCATGGTGACCCACTCTTGGCTGCAATGGGGTGCAGCACGGGACCTGTGAATTCGCGCTGAGAACAAATGCTCACAGCCCAAGGCGGGTTCCCTGTAGTCAACCCTTCGGGTGCAAACATGGCTCCGGAGTGCTGTTGAGCCGGCTTGCGTCAAGAGCATATGCGAATCGTGTGTAAAGTATTTGGCCCCCAATATCCTTACCATGGGCCAAAGTTACCTCCGTTTCTTTGAGATGGTGCAACCCCCAGCATTTTTGATGTGCTTGTGGTTTCCCTTTGAACCATCCAAGAAAGGGACCCTCAAAAGTATGAAAAGCACCCCCTGGAAGGTTTGGTTTATATATGCATATATATATATAATATCCGCCGACACCTTCTTCTCAAATGGGGAGGCGCACGGGAAGGGTGGTTACAGTACAAGTCCAAGGTTGGTTGGTAAATGAGCATAACTACTGGCAGGACCGACGAGGTTTGTCCATCATGCGGATGTCCATCATCATCAGATATCATCAGTTATCATCAGTCATCATCTTGATTATCATCATCATAACCTTTGAGGCCAGCATATGACTACTAGCAGGATCAACCAGGTTTGTCCATCACGCGGATATCATCATCATGGTGCTCATTAATCATCATCACCCTCTTCGTCATCGTCCTCATCTTTTCACATACGTTTTTCAAATGTTCCGATGGAGCCGGTTGGAGATGCAGAAGATGCATAGTAATGATTATCATGTGATGCTGAGGCTAGTGATGCTGAGGATGCGTCGTGATGATTATCATATCGACTCATCATCATCAGCTTCATCATCATCCTCATGGTGCTCATCATCATCATCTTCTTCGTCATCGTCCTCATCTTTTTCATACACGTTTCAAGTCTTCCGTTCAAGCTGATTGGAGATACAGAAGATGCGTAGTCACGATTATCATCATGACTGTTGGTGATGCTGAGGATGCGTCGTGATGACTCTGATCCGATTGGAGATGCTAGAGATGCGTGGACAGTTATCATCATGACTGCTGGTGATGCTGAGGATGCGTCGGGATATTGTCATCCGATTTGAGATGCAAGAGATGCGTGGACAGGATTATCCTCATGACTGCTCGTGATGATCCGATTTGAAATGCAAGAGATGCGTGGACATGAGTATCATCATGACTGATGTTGATGCTGAGGATGCGTCGTGATGATTATCATCCGATTTGAGGTGCAAGAGACGCGTGGACAAGAGTATCATCATGACTGCTGGTGATGCTGAGGATGCGTTGTGATGATTATCATCTCGGTTCATCATCATCGTCGTCATCATCGTCATCGTCATAATCAGTCACGCATGGCCTAATCTTTGAGGCCAGCATATGACTACTGGCAGGATCAGCCAGGTTTGTCCATCACACGTGGACATCGTCATTATCATGCTGCTCATCATCATCACCTTCTTCGTCATCGTCCTCATCTTTTTCATATACGTTTCAAATGTCATAATGTTCCGTTAGCGCCGATTGGAGATACAGAAGATGCGTAGTCACAATTATCATCATGACTGCTGGTGATGCTGAGGATGCGTCGTGATATTGTCATCCGAGATGCAAGAGATGCGTGGACAGGATTATCCTCATGACTGCTCGTGATGATCCGATTTGAGATGGAAGAGATGCGTGGACATGATTATCATCATGACTGCTGTTGATGCTGAGGATGCGTCGTGATTATCATCATCCGATTTGAGATGCAAGAGACGCGTGGACATGAGTATCATCATGACTGCTGGTGATGCTGAGGATGCGTTGTGATGATTATCATCTCGGTTCATCATCATCGTCGCAATCATCATCATCGTCATAATCAGTCACGCATGGCCTAATCTTTGAGGCCAGCATATGACTACTGGCAGGATCAGCCAGGTTTGTCCATCACACGTGGACATCATCGTCATTATCATGCTGCTCATCATCATCACCTTCTTCGTCATCGTCCTCATCTTTTTCACATACGTTTCAAATGTTCCGTTAGAGCCGATTGGAGATGCAGAAGATGCGTAGTCACGATTATCATCATGACTGATGCGGCTGCGTCGTGATATTGTCATCCGATTTGAGATGCAAGAGATGTGTGGACATGATTATCATCATGATTGCTGGTGACGCTGAGGCTAGTGATGCTGAGGATGCGTCGTGATGATTGTCAAATCGATTCGTCGTCATCAGCTTCGTCATCATTCTCCTGGCGCGCAACACCGTCTTCTTCGTCATCGTCCTCATCTTTTTCATATACGTTTCAAATGTCATAATGTTCCGTTAGCGCCGATTGAAAATTCAGAAGATGCGTAGTCACAATTATCATCATGACTGTTGGTGATGCTGAGGATGCGTCGTGATGATTATCATCCGACTTGAGATGCAAGAGATGCGTGGAAACGATTATCATCATGACTGCTGGCGATGGCGCCTTCTCGCATGGTGAGGCCCTGCCCTGCGTGAGCAGTGATCGCTAAATACGGACACAGTGGAAGCTGTCTCCGCGACACCTTCAGTTTGGGGTATTTTCGACGGTGGTCCAGATGCCAGACGCTGCGAACAGGTGCCACTGGAAGGACGCAATCGTTTCCCATGCCCTGCGCAAGCCACTTTCGCCTTGTTTTGCAGACTTCTCCTTCCTGTTTGCTGGGCTCGGCGTTCGGGTGTCGTGCGTCCAGCCACAAACTCGTCCGGAACATCCACGCAGCACGCCCCTCGCTCGATCCAAGCAGTCTGTGGCAGCTACAGGCATGCCAATGCAGAGTGGCAATGCGCCGTAGAGGTCGTGGCGTTGCAGCCAGGTCACCTTGTCTTCGTCCAGACGGGGCTTTTCTGCTAGCACCTCAGCTGAGGCGCGATCTTCTGCGATAGCGTAGTAGAGTCTCTGGCATGTCTGAGCTGCAAATCTGCTCTCTTCTTGGACCTAAGATTTACCAGGTCACAAGGGGCCTCGACTTTTGACCACACACACCCATATTGGGCACTTAGAGGGTGGCACTATGTTGAATTCTACCAACTTCGGAAATGTCGCATGCTCCGAAAACGCGATGTCAAAACATTGAGCGCAGCCACATAAAACAAATCATCCGGCCCCTGACGGTCTCTTTCGGAGGAATCAACAACCTTCAGGGGTCAGAACTGATCAGAAAAAAAAACGCACCCTGTTTGCAAGGATGCTTAGCAGGGATCATTCTGTTTCACACCTGGACGTTGCACCAAGTGTGTCATAATCACTTGGTGGCCTCTGCGGCTTCTGTACTCATACCGTTCCGCCAGCCACTTTTGCAACACCGGTGACCCCGCCAGACAGAAGGAAGCGTTTTTGGGGCCCCGACCCCACCAAACAAAAAGGGATTGAAGTAAACATGTGAAATTCATATTCACTAAGCTGGGAAAATGACCAACCCCAACAAACATCGGCATGCCCATGCTCAGGACTTCTCAATGGATATGTCGAAACACCACATAATTGCAACCTAATCCTCAGCCGGCCCAAATCTGCATCCCTTAAGGGACCCTGATTTAGGCACTACAACTACGCGCGCAAATGGAGCCCGGGTTCTCTGGGTTCGCCTGCAGCTCCGAATAGTCAATGTCCGCCAAACTTGCCGCGAGCTGCGTCAGGGCGGGCGACCTTCTGCCCTGCCTCAGGTGGAGCCTGGGCAAAGGAGCCAGAACTCGCACCGCTGCCGAAATCCCGGGCGAAGCGCATCCGCTCTCAAGCATTCTCAGGGGTCCCAAATCCAGGTGCCGCCAATCTGGGGGAAAGTGGAAAGTGAAGACGATGAAAATGGAGAATCAACGTTTGCACTGAGTATCTCTCATTTCGGGGCCTTAGGTACGAGTCCTTCACCTAGTTTCTTTCCAAATTTAATTTTAAGCAAAAGGTCGGCTCCCTTCAACTCAAAGGGCTCCAAAAGGTTTTGAGGGAAAAAGACCGAAGGGACAAAATCCACAAAGAAAGCACCGAGGGTTTGCCCCAATGGATCAAGAGTCCGGGTGTGAAGGACTTTAAGTCCGACAATGCCAGCATATCGGCGTCCACCCCCCTTCAAAAAAATAGAATAACAAATAGATGGCTGCCCCCTTTGGTTTCCTTGCTACACAGGTCGACTCGTGGAACTCTTTTTGAAAGCGTGGATCGCTCTCTGCCATGGCGACGCGTGCTTTCAAGCGCCGCTCTTCGCGACGCTTGCCACATTCTTCGCGCAGGATGCGCGCATCCTGATAGCCTTGCCCCCACCCAGTCTGCAACGCCTCCACATAAAGCCTGCCTAACCGACTGCGCCTCCAACTCAGCCTCGCTCAATAGCCTCGCAACGAAACGAGCTCGAAGCCACAAGGAGAACGCATGGCCGCCTGTGTATATGCCCACTATGGAAGCATGCAGCAAGTCCGCCCCAGCGATGTCGTCGCCACCGAAACCAGAACTACATGTTGAAAAATCTTCAGCAGCTGCCTGTGCACAGCTCACTGTCTCAGACTCGCGCCGCAAAGGCGCATTGGTAATGCAGAGGAATCACCCTTATAAGCATCATCATGATGATCATAATCACCCTTATCATCGTCATCAGGGTGTGGATGGGTGTGGTGTGCATTGTTGGTAGGTTCCATTCCTCCATCCCATGTATCATTGCATCCCACGCCCACCCATCCATCCACCCATCCACCCGCCCACCGCATCCCTTCCATCCATCCATCCATCCCTCCATCCCTCCCTCCCTCCCTCCCTCCCTCCCTCCCTCCCTCCCTCCCTCCCTCCCTCTATCCCTCTTATCCGCCATCCATCGCGTCCATCCATCCAGCCCGTGTGGCGGACATGCGAGGCCGGCGCGCGGAGCACGAATATATATATATATATATATATATTACCCTGTTCAGGTTTGTTCTAAGCGAGACCAAGAAGTACAACACCCTTTTTAACATGCTATCTGCCTTTTCTTATGATGAGCTCTCCGATTGAGAGTAAAACGAGCGAAACCTCATGATGTAGCTATGTTACTTGGGGATTTTTTTCTTACTTCAGGTACTGGAATCATGTTGGTATGATGGGATATGATGGCAAACCCTGACTGAAACAAAAGGCATTCTTACCCCGGAAAACCCGGCCCGAAGAAACAACAGTGATTTGAAGACAGGGGTATACATAAACCCGAAGCCACCGGCCCGTTGATCCCCGGCTTGCGCCGTTCCTTAACGGCGCGCCAAGCAGCCGGCCAGGTGCAGATGTCATGCTCTCCGCAGCCCACGAAGATGCTCCGAAGCTCGGGGGGCTGGTGGGGGCAAGGCCTCCGGTGGCACCCTTTTTGGGGTGCCTTGAAAGGAAACCAAAAGGAAACCCACCCAGTTCCCCCAATTTTGAGACAAATTAACCTACAGATTGACATGGAGCCCCAACACCCACCATGTTCAGAGGAATTTCCCTTTCAGAGACCCCTTTCTGGGTTCAGGACACTCGAAGGGTCAACTGCGAATGGAGTGTGTTTTGAGGATGTGTGTTTTGAGGTTGGTTTCAAGGGAGCCATAAGGAAATCCACCGTTCTGGGTTTTTGATTTGGCGCATGTCCAGATAAGCACAAAAGGGGAAGAAGCAAGAAAGCATGCAAGCGATCAAGCAATGAAGCAAGCAGGCAAACAGTCAAACACACAAACAAGCAAACAGAATCAAAGAAACAAAGGACACGGAATCAAAGCAACCAATAAGCAAAGACAAACAAAAAACAGCAAGCAAGCAAGCAAGCAAGCAAGCAAGCAGGCAGGCAAGCAAGCAAGCAACCAAGCAAAACACACAAGCAACACCACAAACACAACAAAACCATCTTGAATCAAGGCAAGCAAACCCCAATCGCCAAAACAAAGACACACACACACACAATACAACAAAACAAACACGCAAAGCCAACACAAACAACAAAGCACAAAACAGAAACATCACGACAGACCAAGTTGCAGACAACAGCAACAGCCTCAGCAGTTGCGAAAGCAATCGATAGCACAAAACTGGAAATACCAACCAAGCCCCAACCCCCCAAACCCTCACACCCACACACACACATACCCACACACACACACACACAAAACAAAAAATACCTCCCCCGCCCGCAACAGCCGCCCTGAAGCCCGCAACAACGGGCCGCCAGGCACGTGTTGCCGCTGCAGAAAGTCATAGCACCTGACGCATAGGGAACTGGGAACTACCGGGGGCCCGGGGCACGGGTGCGGCAAGGCCAGGGAAGCCGCTCATCTGTTCGAATCGCCGAATGCCGTCCCTTTGCTCTCTGGAACAATGGGAGACCCCTTCGAAGCTTGAAATACTGCCCAAATATGGGGAAACCAAGGAATGCGCTTCATTTGTGTTCGTTGCTTTTTTGTAACGGGGTTCACGTATGTTCACGTCCCCCACAAAGAGGGAAAACGGCAAACATCCCCGGGAGGTCTGTGTTAAGCCCAGTAGATCCACTTATATACCCCTTTAGCTAACCAAGGGAACACATCATGTGAAACCAAGAGGTAAGAATCCCGGTTGCCTACGTATACTAGACTCCTCGGTTCCAAACACCACGAAAACCACGGAGGTTATATAACCGCTACTTAAGCAAGGATCTTTATCCAAATTGGGTCAACCGCTCTTTTAACGGAGCGTCGGAGCCTCGAAGTTGTCCGCCATTGCAGGTGTCCCCCTTTAGGGGAAACCACGAGATGGGCAACTTCTTGTGGCAGGCCAGTTGCCCACCGGTCTTGGTGAGAAAGGCAACCTCTTTTTTAGAGTTTTACTTTTTAGTAGGAAACCCCACCACACCAAAAGAGGAAAGGTGCTGGACTGAATCCAGAGGGATCTGATTCGGCTGGGATTGTGTCCGTCTTTTGAGTCTCGGTACCCTTTTCTGGTTGGTTCAAAGGGACAAGGGGTCCCACACTTTGAGGGTGCGAATTTTTCAGGGTCCCAAATTCTGTCCCAACTTGTTCAGGGCCCCCAAAATTGTTGAGGGTCCCAACTCCTCTTCTCAGGCGCCAAACCCCGGTCATTTTTGCTCCGAGGTGCTGGAGTGCCGAGCGGGTGACGCAGGGCCGGGTGCTGTCCACCTGGGGTTGGCCCGGGAACGTCTGGTCTCCTTTTGGTATCTCCTAGAAACCAAGGGAGATGGGGGGGCAAAATAGGTATCCAAAAAATAGGGTATCCAAAACTAGGGTATCCAAAAATAGGGTCTCCAAATTTAGGTGTGGGTGTGGGGTCATAAATCGGGGAGCCTCTGGTTCTTCACGACCCCGACAACTTATGGAGGCACCAATCACAATATGGGCAAATCGCGATGAAGAAGGCGTTTTGGGGTTCCCTTTTTTGGGGCTCCCCTCGTTTTTGGGCCCTCATATGGGAAAATGGCGATCCACGGTTGGAGCATTAGTAAGGCTAAATGGGTGTGTGGTTGTCAAACATGGGGCAACCCCAAAATGGCTTGCCCTGGTAGATGGAAACAAGGACAAACCTGCGGACCCCTGGTGGCGTAATTTTACCCATACCCATATGTTGAGAAACACACCAAGCGAGAAACAATATCAGGAAAATTAAGAGGTTTCTTTGAGTCCTTTATGAACAGTCCATTGTGATTCACTCTTGGTTCATTTCTCCTTGCTTCAGCCAAGCAGTTTGAGCATTGAAAGCATCAGAGTAGCGTGTGCCTTTTGAGAGAAGACACGAAAGCCAGCACAGAAACAACAAAAACCTTAGGGGTGCCAATCTTGAGAAACACCAACTTGGACCCTAGATATGATCCAGAAAGAACATGTAATTTCCCCCATGACACGAGTAGGTTGCGTGTCCAAAAGATGCACGTTCCAGGCACGTCTATGCGTTCTTTGAACCGAAGACTAGCCACCCCGCATTGTGAGACATCCGTTCAAGTCAATCGCAGACGGCCGGAAACTAAAATCGGTGATTGACCAGCGGAACTGCAAAAACACCGATCGACCTCTGACCGCAAATCAGGCATTCGATTAGTGGCCAATGTAAAGAGCGTCTTCCTCCATTGCCGGTGATGCGCACAGGTCGACTCCAGACAATTGGGTGTCCTCAAAATGGCGGCTTCCGTTTGGTTTCCCTTGACACCAACCTTAACAAGGGTATCCCAAAAACAAGAAACACCCAAATCGGTCTGCCTTTTCTTGAGACCCCTGGTTTTGCGGCCGCAAAGAAACACCGATGCCATTTTGGGCGGCCACCTAAACAACGACCCACCCAAACGGAACGAAGAGCACGGGTCGTAGGTCCATAGCTCTACCACCCGGCGCTTTGCTCGCTGGGCGGCCCCACGCAGGCGAGTCTTGAGAGCATCTCCTGGGTTTCGTCAGGGCGGCGGGGCTCCTCGTTTTGGTTTGAGGGGTAAATTGAGGGACTAGGTCCTCCAGTAGAGAGGTTAGAATAAGGGCACCCTTTTTCTGTAGACTATTTTAGTAGGGGAACACTCCCCCAAAAAAGGGTAAAAGGGCACCACTGGGGGACCTAGGGGGGTTCAGGGCAAAACCTAAAGGGAAAGCCGGGGTTCCTTTTGTGGCAATTGCTCTAGGTAATTATGATATTCAAGCTCGCAACACTCGTGCAATACATCACTCTGGGCAAGGAATCCTTCGGGTTGAGGCAACCTTGTTTAAACATGGTTTAAACCGTATTTCCAACAACTTTTGCTTTTGATATGACTGTTCAACCAGCCTGTATTGTTCAACCGACCACTTGCAGCAAGTTGAGCTTTTTGCTGACAGTTGAAACATAAACTGATGGAAACCCCAAAAGGCAAAAGTAAAAAAGATAAGCTTTGACTGGCAATGTAAACAGTTTGCTATGGGTTTCCGCATTCTGTCCATCCTTTTCTTTCGAAACCACCGATTTACCCCACATTGGCCCATTTGGAAGGTACTAAAGGCTAGATCTTTTGGCTTCCAGTGTCTGGGCGTTCGGGGACGCTTTCAAGGACCCCTAGACATGCGCAGCCACTAGATTTCCCCTTCACCCCAAAAGACGCGCGCCTTGAACCGGCCAGACAAGGAAAATCAAACCGCAAAGAGAGACAAAGTGCCTGTGAGAACGGTTCCCATTCCTTTTTCAACCAAACTTGTCCAACTCCAGAGCCCCCAAAGGTACAGCGAAGTGTGTGAATGTGTACGTGTGTTTCATGTCAAGGACGCGCACTGCCTGTGAATCAGGGTGAGAAATCCACACGTGTCTGTGATACCACTGTGAGCCATGGTCAAAGTATGCCGAAAATTGGAACCAAGTAGTGTTCCGCTGGTTCCCAAGTTCACCATAGACTCGATACTCTGTCTGTTCGAGCCACATGTCGGCCCGTTGGAGCACCTTGGAAGGGGCCTGAAGACAGTTGCTGGTGCCCTTTGCCTGGATTGCAACTTCCAGAAACATCTCGGTGCGCAGAAAATTGACAAGAAACCCCTGTTGCCTGGCGATTTTTAGACAAAAACCGGAACCCGGGGTTGACCATCGGTGGTGGAAAATCCATGGATGTGAGATGATTTGAGCAAGTACCCGCACTCAAAGGTGGGTTCAAGTGGAAATCGAAGGACAACGCTTCATGTTTGACTCCAAATGATTATTTTGACACATGCGCGCGCTTTTTTTTGGAGTGTAGTCCCTAGCGTTGTTTCAAAGGGGAACCAGAGGGGAAGCCACTTTGGGGGGTTCCCTCAAAACAGGATCAGCCCTTCCACCAAGATGATTAAAAGTTATAAAGGTGTATATAAACTTACTGTGCTATAACCACCAGAAGACCAGGTAGGACCCTTAACTTGGCCGGCGGCCGGGTGCTCTCCGAAAAATCTGCACTCGCACGTGGATAGCCAAGGGTCCCAGAGGGGCCACCTGGTGGTGAGCAGGTCGAAGAAAGGCGACCTGGGGCGTTCTCACTTGGGATGGATCAAGAGCAGCCAAACTGCTTGTTTGCTGCTACTGTTGGAGACTTTGGGGGAAACCTATTTGCTGTTTGCTTTTTGCAGACCCCCTATTTGTCCTTTTGCAAACCTACTCCAGAGTCTTGACATTTGTTTTTGCAGACCCCCTAGCACCCAGTGTGATCACGAGGATGGACACGGACAGCTTTACAAAGGTCTGTGCTGTCGGACACAAAGAATCCCAATGGCGGTTTGCTTCCCAATTTCCCTTACCAATGTTGACCAGAATGTTTTTTTCAGGATGAAGCTGATTGATTCCGTGATGATGAGTACTGCCCACTGACATGTTTTGTTTTTTTAGTAACCCCCCCTTTCCCAGTTCGTGATGCAGTCATGGCATTGTGGGTCCGGACCATGTTCGCCTAGGTTTCCAGCCAGCTTCCCAGGGCTTCAGCTTCCCTCCAAAAGGGCGGTTTGGAGCCCGGCGCTTTGCTGGTCGAGGAGCCCCATTGATCCTCTACAAGAACCGGTTCAAATCCCAGTTCCCACCCACCAAATCCGCAAAGGGGAACCTGAGTATCTGGAGAAGGGAAACACCACATGCGCGATGTTTGGCGCCCATCCACAGGGCGTGTCTTGTTTTAAGGGGACCTTTTGGTACAAAAAAAACAAGAAAACCAAAAGAAACGAGTCACCCAAATTATCCCAACCATTTCCATGGCGGATTCGAATCCGATCGGGAATGGGCCTCAGAACTCTGCAGCCAAGAAACCAGTTGGACTTTGTCGTGACCCATGAGCTGATGGTATCCTTGGCATGGCACTCTGCTCGACCAAATTGTCACAATCATTATTTAAGTTGGTATCATGGAAAAGGTGCCGACGAAAACAACAGAAGTACCATGGAAAAACCGGTGGGTTGATGCGGACTGGAGGCAGGAGGTACCTTTTTCATGTTTCAAGATGAACTGGGGTTTACGGGGTTTAAATCCTGAAACCACAAATCCCCACCACCAAAGGGCCCCGAACTGCAAATGTTCACATGAAGCCCAAAACAGGGTTGCTCTGAAGATTTGGTAAACGGTCATGCCTTCTCTCCCGTCACCTTTGGGCGCTTCATTTCGTGGAAGGACCTGCTGGCTGGTTTCAAAGGGAGACAAAACCAAACACCCACTCCGACGCTCCAAATCGTGAGACAATGTACACAAGCGTCTGCCTGGAGTTTCCATGTCCCTGAAAAACATGGGGTCATGACTCCATATCTTTTCGATTCTGCGATCCGACTCAGAAGGAGACTCGGTCAAAAGACATGAAACTGGATGCTCCTCTTTGCATGTCGATCTTGGTGCTCCTGGCCATGTCTTACTAGCATCCTTTGGTTGGCTTCGTAGTCTTCTTTGGGGTTTGGGGTGCCAAATACGGAACATGCAAGGGGGAAGTACAAATACCTGGGCCCGGACCCGAACCCAACAAACACGGTTTTTCTGAAGGGGCTCCTGGTCCGGCAGACAGCTCTGAGCAGACCGCTGGAAATCGTGTGTAGGCTCTGTCGCAGCTGTCGGTCGGCCGGGTGGACAGGGTCGGATGTCACTTGAAATCTGAAAATCCCAAACGTGGGGAGCAAAAAGTGCAAGGCTATTTCCCACGCCCGTAATAGATAAACCCTTAGAAACAAGCAACAAGTTCAAAAAGATCAGCCAAGTCGAGCAGATTACCCATTCCCGCCTGCGCCGTCACGATCAGCGCATAGACCATGTTGCTGGAGTCTTTCAGCGAGCCCTGAAAGACTATCCGCACACCCGGGGAGGCCTTTGGACACTTCGAAAAACAATTGGCAAGCCACCAGTCTCAGCAAACGACGAAATTGATCAATGCAATTCAACCGCACTACGCCATTTTACACAAAACAGCAAATGCTATGTGCATGTGCTTTGTTTGGACAAAAGTGCGCATGTGTGGGCACCTCTTAAGGGAAAAATGTGTACAGTAGGGCAAAGAAAGGACCCATCAACCCCTAGAGCAGCGCCGAGCAGTGCAGAACCCAACTTGTCCAGCTTGTCAGCCTTGACCTTGAGGTTGGGGAGGGGCATTCATTCGGCGTCGCGGGGGGATCCACCAACAGACATCCTCAATGTCCCAAAGGACCCAGAAATGAAAGGTTGACCTTTTGGGCCGATGACTACATATGGACCAAAACAGGAAAACCCAAACGGTCAGATCAAGTCGATTCGCTTTGGGCAACTGAGCATGTGGCACGGTTTAAAACTCCGAATCTGTGTCACTGTCATGGGTCACTTACCGGAACCCTGGGTTGTTTGCACGGGTTTGCCCTGTAAACTAGTGCATATGTGACGGTGTATACTATTATACACATATATCATACGTACACACATGCCGATTCAATTTGACGCACTCATCTTTACTTGATCTTCAAGTACTTCATGTTTCGTTGATCCTTGGCCAAAAGTCGACAATGAAGTGGGACAGTATGTCATAAATCAAACTCTAACCTCTAAAAGTGGAAAAGGCGAAGGAACCGCATGGCCGCCAAGAGTACCCATTCCACCGGGACATGGGAAAATGAGCGAGTCCCCAGGTTTGTGTGGGAAACTTTGTGAGTTTCCTGTACCCCAACCCGCCTGGTAGGTGCCCCGATTGATGAGATCCAGCGCTACCGCCAGAAGCGCCACCGCATTACCTCCGTCAAATCCGAATGCAAAGAAGATCATCAAGAGAAAGGGTCCCTTACATGTTGCTTCGCGCCAGCAAAACCATCACCTTTGCCGGCAGATTCAGAGGTGTCTCTTGTCAGGCAGGTGGTGCTTGGATATATCCCAAAAGGAACCCTGAGAAACGTTGGTATGTGTGTGTGTGTGTGCGCGTGCGCGTGCGCGTATAGCTGTAACGACGCAAAATGGTTGAACGTCTACCCTGAATCCTGAACCATGCCCGAATCACGACCCCCCAACATCATTTGGCATATTATGCAGAAAACGTAGCAAGCACACCAAGAAAATTCGGGCATCCCCACCCCCAAACACATCTCCCCTTGTTGGTCTATCATATTCTTCCCAAAGAGGGAGTGTCTATTGGGGTGGTGTGTTTGGAGGGGGTGGAATGCCCAGTGTCAACACAATTCTATTGCAAAGCCTTGGCAATGGAACACGCACAACTAGTCCCCTCATAGCTCCGGAGGCCTACCTTGAGAGTCTTTGAGGGTGCCTTTTGATTGGCAAAACAGGACATCATGAAAAGTGCCACGTTGTGATAAGCAGAACGCCCGTGCAACTCACACCCATAGTATTTCACGGCAAGGAGCCTTGAAAGGCGTTGCACAACCGGGAATCGACAGGGCCCTCTTGTCAAAAGCTTTGCTTGCACCAGTTGGTCAGCAGCGCACAAACACACGCACAAGTGCCACAAAATGGAACATGCGTGCACAGCGAAAGGTCCGTTATGGTGCTTGGTGCCCGATAGGGAATGACCTTCCAGGGTTTGGGAATGAACCGTTTGGGGTTTCCCTTAAAGGAAACCATTCTGGGAATCAATTTCTCATCGTAGCAAGTAAACCTCACGCCGTTTTTGGCACATGGCCTGCAGGGCACCCGCCGGACCGGCGAATGGCCAACAAGTGGATGCCCAGCACCGGCATCTGGCGAAGCGAAACACCGGAAAGTTTGGCCCGCCTCATTGGAGGGAGCTCGCCAAGCAGATGCAGTGATTGGCTGGGATGGGAATTTGAAGGCCGGTCAAGGTTGGGTCAGCTTCCAACAAGAATGGATGTTCAGCCAACTTAGTAGGCTAAACACATGGACATAGTTCTAAGGATTGATTCTCCATCTTCACCCGTTCCGTTCAAAAACCACCCATTTCTGGGGTGTGAGCCTGAGCAAAATGGGGAAGGTACCGCTGGATCCCCTGCACGTTAAGGAACTCAATAAAGAGGGTCTTTGCCCTAAAGCGGTGTCTCCAAAAAATGAGGGTTTTGGTGGGATTATCAAGCCCATGTCGGGCGGGTACTACTTTCAATCTGCGAAGCCAGACAGCCAAAAGCTTTGCCAAAGCTAGCCCATGGCTAGGAGGGATTGATCTGAGTTTGCTACAACTGACCAAGCTGAACTGATGAATGGCTAAGGGACCGTTTATCTCGGGTGAGCTCGTTTCACTGAGGGAATAAGAGGATTCTTATACAAACCCCTTAGCAAAAGGAAGCTTTAAGCATGACCTACTAGATGATGCTTACATCAGTGGAAAAGGGACAAAGGACCCGTGAAGCCAAGGGACACTGATTGAAAACATGCCGGGGAAGTCTGAATTCCTTGTAACCTGGACCCTCAAACTACCCTTCAAAAGGGGGACATTGCCCCAAACAATATTGGTTTAGTTCCCGTTGTTTCCGGGTGGTTTGAGGGTCTGGGTAGGTTTTAAGGGATTTGCCAGGAAACGGACAATGGAAGGCAGGGTGTGAAACGTGGGTCCTACAGTCCTACAACTGAGAAACCCTCTTGATGTTTCTGAAGACACGCCTTGGGAATAGAGCTCGATTCCTGGTCGTGGCTTTGGATCATTCAACGTTCTTCTGGAACCAAGACCGTAGCCCTAGTTGCAATCGGTTCCAATTTGCATGTCCGCGAAACCTAAAAACAACCCGAAGGGAAAGAACCAAGGCAAATACAACAAACCGAACCATGCGGTATGCAAACACACGCCCGGTCAAGGCACTCACCACGCAAATCAAGCCAAGCTCAAACCTCGCCAACCCCCAATCCCCACCAACCTTTCTAATCCTGGGCGTGCGGTTGCAAAATCTTCGTGTTTGTTGCGGCCCGCTAAGCATTTGCCTGGTAACCCTTAGTTGGTGATTTGGATTGGTCTGGGGATTTGAACCCCTGGTTCTTACTAGAGGGATGGGACACCACCCGAACCTCCACCAAATCACCAAACCGCCAAGCGGGGGCAAGCTGAAAAACCACCGACGTAAGCTCCACCAAACTCAGCCGCCACTTGAAGGAAATCTAGGGGTTGATTCCCCATTCTTTTCAACCGTCGTTCTTTTCAAAAAACGGATCCCAGAATGGTTGGAGGTTGTCTAGAAAGATCCGGATCCCTGGAAAGAATGGACATGGAAGGTACCCCAGAATACGAAAAACACGACTCAACCACGGCCATGGAGGAAAAAAACAACGAGTGAGCGCCTCTCGCCTGAAGCTGATATTTTTTCAACCGAGCTGGCCTCCCCCGAGGCAAGGCCATGGACAAGAGCGTCCCGGTAGTTCAAGTCCTACTTCCATCAGCACCCCAAGACACCGGGGGGGTTGAGTGCCCCTCTTGGCTGATACATGGCGAGTTGCCTTTTGGTCTCATCAAGATAGGTCTGGTGTATAAATGGATCACAGTGGGGTGGTCTCCTTTTGGCCTTCCTTTCAACCGAGGTGAAAAGGGTACCTTGCCTTGCAAGACCTGGGTTGTTTGTTTGGCTACCCCGTTTAGGATTTTTAGAATGGGAAGCCGAAGGGATTCCACCCATCTCCCCAGTGTGAACACATTTCCAATTCCAAGTCTATCCCAACGAAGGAAGCCCGGAGAAAACATACTTGCAAAACCAGCACCACCTGTCTTACCATCAGACCAACATGTCCTTATCTCCGGCTTGTGCCTTAGTCACCACCGAAAAAATCGAGGGCTTCGCAGTGTTTTCGCTGCGATTTACATTGCTTTCGTGTTTGTCCACCTGTCTTACGGTTGTCAAGGGCTGCCCAGCAAAAAGCCCCCCAATCCCAGAATCGATTTCAGCGAAAGGGGCTTCCTTTTAGGCACTTTTTCGGGGTCCCTTTTGGGGCCCTGACAACCATGGGAACCTGTATATGGCTTATCATTAGTTGGGATAGAAGTGCCACTGGCAACAATCGCTGGAGATCAAGGAACAGGCATACGGAGATCTCTCTTCAAAACGTGGTCATTCTTTGGGTTGCATAGCAGCTTCGTCCCCAAGCTGAGCTGACTTTTGGTTCTACCAGCATGGTTAGACAGCTTTTCACAACACTTCCTACACAGGTTAAGACAGGTAATAATACCCCCAAATTCCTAAACCGGCCATTAGGGTGGTTCGGGCGCTGGAAATGTCTGTTGATTTGCCGGGAAGTAACAAACACCCGCCAGGTCCAACCCGTATCCTCCTCGCTATCCAGCTCGTCACACTCGTTGGGCCGCGTCTGCAGGCCCGGATACTTCATGGGCCTCGCAAGTCCGCTGGCAATCTATGCCCGGAAGTAGCCTGCATTTTTACGGGCTTGATGTGACACCGACCAGTCAAGGAGGCATGTAACTATGGACAAATATATGGTCAACCAAGGGAGATTTGGAGGCTACGCTCTTGGGACCTTTCTTTTTGTCCCGAGAGCGACCTGGCAGCGGTGGACCTTTCTGTCCTGAGAGCGACCTGGCAGGTGGGAACATTGGGCCAAATTTAGACCTGCAAAAAGGGAAGATGAAGGAGAACCGCTGCAAATTGATGTAAAACGGCTGCGCCCTCCAATGGAGGCCTGAGGTTATTGTTTCCCCCAGCTGTGGCTAGTGTGAACCGCTAAAGTTTGGCCATTGCTTTAGGATGCGAGGTTTTGCCGCGGAGTTTACTGGGAACAAATGCTTCTCTAAAATGAACAAACACTGGGTTGCTCCGAGATGGCAGGGTAGAAAACTGGCCCTCCCTTTACCAAAGGAAGCCAAACCAATAGACTGGTCACCTCTTTCAGGTTTGGATCCATGTCAATTCCCGGGAGAATTCCGATCTCAAGGGTCCGTCTGTCCACAGCTCTGCTAACAAACCAAGACAGCTTGAACTCAAGAAGCCCAGTCCCCCATTGATGGACACGCACCCGATTTTTCCCGTCTGCCCGACAGGATACCAGACCCGAGCTGGCTGGCGAAAACCGCTTAGGCCTCAGACCTCAGACCTCCGCCTTTGCCTTGCTCAGGCGCAGCACTGATTTTTAAGGATTGGCTGATTGGGAAGCCAGTGGGAAACCGCCCATTTGTGGCGGTGCCCGATTTGGAGAGCCCTGGGAGTGTATCCCGATGTACTGGAAACTCGAAACCTGCGGAAGCCATTGATATGCCACTTATATATGTATACATATATATATATATATGTAGAGTTTGGAGCATATATATATATATAACACATACATATATATATATAGTTTGGAGAAGGGGTCCAGGACACCAGCACCTTGTCGTCTTTGACTACGGTTGAGCCCACCATGCGGGCATGAAGATTGATGGGGAACACCCTTCAACATGATGGGGAAAATCCAACCGTGAACCTGGATTCCGTGAAAGGATTTGTTCGTCCAATCACCACTTGCTTTGCAAGCGAATCCTCCAAATCCGCTGGTGAAGGTCGTAATGTTAGCTTGCCTATTAACAGTCTCCGCTTTAATGGATTGCTGTTTAAAGTGCCCATGAACGCTACAACTAACAAAACCCTGTAGATGTTCACAAAAGGGTCCCAACTCAAATCCACGGCTCACAAAAAGGCGGGGGCCTGTCGTCCATGACATCCATCAGCTTCTTGCCAACCTGAGCAACCAGATCTGCACTCTTGCCTTCGCTGCTTTCTGGACCTCCACCCACCCCACCCCACCCGAAGTGCCCATCGCCACTTTCCGCAATAAGTCCCAAACCTGAGATAAGAATTGGAACCCCGAGAGGGACCTTCATGGCCTTCGCGGTTTTTTTTGCCCGGACCCCAGTGGAACAGGCTGGTCTCTGAAGTTCGGAGCATCCGACAAAAAAATAGGGGAGCCCCCCCCCCCCCCCGGAAAAGAAAAGAAGGAAAGGTCTTTCCAAGAGCACTTCGGCATCACCCCTCCCTTTGAAACAAACCCAAAAGCTACATTTGCCACCGCTATCCCCGACAGCCCTGAACCCTCTGAAACCCTCGGGAACCCTCCCTCAAAGCTGCTCCAAACCACTCCGGAGCATCAACATTCTGAAAAACACTGGGAACCAAACACATTTAAGGGTGTGCGTCAAAATAAGGGAACTCCACCGACCCAAAAAACACACACACACACACACACACACACACACACACACACACACACACACACACACACACACACACACACACACACACACACACACACACACACACACACACACACACACACACACACACACACACACACACACACACACACACACCCCTACACACTACACACTGCACACTACATATAATATACATACATATACACATATATATATATATGACGGTTGTCTGAAATTCCTTGTTCCGGAAACCGCCATCTTCGCGAGAAACAAATAACCTTCGCGGACCCCATCGCAGAACTTTCGCGGGGCTGTTCTCAGAACATTCATCACAAAAGTAGTACACGAAGTACACTTTCGCATCCCAGCTCCAAAGTCGCAGCTCTTCAGTGCGAAAGTAGTACTAAAAGTAAACTTCCGCAGCCCGGCTTGAATACGAAAGTAGTACACGAACTAAACTTCCTCAGCCTCGAAAGTCAAACTTCTCAATACGAAAGTAGTACACAAAGTGAACTTCCGCAGCCCCAGCTCGAAAGTCGCAAGCTTTCAGTTCCAAAGTAGCACGCGAAGCGCGCTTCCGCAGCTCCAGCTCACAAGCTGTGAGCTACGCACGAGAGGACCCGTTGGCCTCATGTCCGGAAACTGGCGGGGCGGTCCGTTGACTTTCGCGTAACTTTCGCGGATCTTACGCCAAACATTCGCGAAAATTCGGCTGGAAGTTCCGCTCAACTTGCCCCGACAGAATCAAAACTCCCAGAAGCTGGTTTTTGCTGGCTGGGGGTTGTTTTTGCAGCGGCGTATTCTTGCGGCGACCCTCAGGCTGGCATTCTCCAACCAACTTTAGTCTGCGGGCATTCTGCGCGCACTGCCGGTAAATACATCATGGTTCATCACTCCAGCTTCCTGTTAGCAAGCCACACAAAACTTTCGCGGAAAAAAATAACTTTCGCGACCCGCTTCGCGGAACTTTCGCGAAGGTCAACGCTAAGACCAAAAGGTCTTCCCCTTCATAGCTCAATACAAGGACCTTTCGGACGACTCTCATATATATATATATACACACCCACCCACCCACCCACCCACCCCCACCCACCCACGCACGCACGCACGCACGCACGCACGCACGCACGCACGCACGCACGCACGCACGCACGCACGCACGCACACACACGCGCGCGCGCACACGCACCCACCCCCACCCCCCCCCCACCCCCACCCCCATCCCCACCCCCACACCCCCACACCCCCACCCACACACACACACACACACACACACACACACACACACACACACACACACACACACACACACACACACACACACACACCCACCCACCCACCCACCCACCCACCCACCCACCCACCCACCCACGCACGCACGCACGCACGCACGCACGCACGCACGCACGCACGCACGCACTAACGCACTACACACACACACACACACTACACACACAACACACTCCACACACTAACTACACACACATAGAGACACACGCCCATTTGGGTGTGCCTTTCATTTACAGACCCTTTCGGGGCTTGGTTTTCAGGGGACACCAAATTTGTCCACCACTTTTGTGGGTCTGGACAAAGCAATCCCTTTCCCGCTGAGAAGTCCAAGCCAGGTGCAGCTCCTTGAAGACTGGCCTCAAGTCCGGGATACCGCTACAAGACCCTGGCACCGGTTGGAACCAACAACAATGAGGGTGGTACATCGAATGCTGGTGGTATATCAAATACTGGTGGTTCTACTGGTATATCAAATACTGGTGGTGCATGTTCAATAACTGGCGGTATATTATGAAAGGAGGTTCTTTGGACAAAGCATGCCGATCAGCGTTTCGCCTTAGTAGGCAACCCGTCGATCCATGTGCCAGTTGGACTTAAAGGGCGGGGTCTCTGCCCAATTCACCTCGGTTCGGAGTAGCTCCAAGAAGGGTGCAAAGGGGGTGGCTGTTGGGATACCACCTGAGCTTATTGTGTTTTGTTGGGGGAAGAACAGCAAGACTCGAACTGACCCCCTACTTGTGTCCCCCTCCCAAAATCAAACGGTAAGACTGAAGACTGTTTGGAGAAAGCGGCAACCAGCTCTTGGTGGCAAAACCTGCTCAGTACATGCATGCCGAACTTTGGGGCCTTTTGCATGGCTCTAAATGGGAAACGAAGGGGAAGCCTAGTGGAGAAGTCCGACTTTTTGAGACACAAAACGGAAAATCATATTCTTCCGTTCCATGCTCTCAGTCAAGAGTGTCCCGGGGTTATCAGGTCATTCCCACATGCCCTGCTAAGAATGAAAGAAACAAGGTCTCCAAAGATGTCGTACTCCGAGACGTTGAATGAAGCAAATATGTACAACACCGGGCCATGTCAGAGATGGATGCAGCCGTTGGAACCCCACAAGACAAGGACCCAAGCAAACCAATGTGCGCGCGCAGGAGTGCTTGCGCGTGCGTGCAAGCAAGCCAGCAAACAAATAAGTATGCAAAGCAACAAACAAAACCAAACCACGCATACGAACGAAGAAACCAAACCGAAAGCAAACCAGAATCGAACAGGCAAACCAAACCGAAATCAAGGCGAAACCGAAACCAACCCAAGGCAATCCGAAACTAAAGCAGGCCAATCCATCTAAACATCCATGAAGTTGCCAGGACCCCGTACCATCCCCCTGCCAGCAATGCAGCCCAGGAGGAGGTGAGCAGGTCCAGAGCACCTGCGGCGTCACGGAGCACCCCCCAAGCATAGGTGGCCTTTGGTTAAATAGATGGCCCTAGCAAATGGAACAACACCCATCTAAACCAGTGTTATCTATTTCTAGCTGACCTGAAAAGGACATCTATGCGCACAACTTGCCCGACAGCTTTTTCTCCCCGCACTTTGCCTGAGGAGGGGGTGTTTATGCAGGGCATTCGTCAAGTTACCACTCACGATGGTGCCCTAGGTGGCTTTAAACAAGGGTTACCAACCACTTACAAAATACCCTGCCATGAAGCAGTGTTGGGCTAGAATTGCGATGCTGCACGGGATGCAGCATGCATGCCGTGCAGCATGAATGCTGCGGTTATGATGCTACTCGCCACGTTTTGTTTGGCAAGATTATCATGCCTTAAAGATGAATTCACTAAATTACTACGCTTAGGAAGTGCATTTAGTGCGATCATTCAACTGGGCTGCCCTCAGATCCCCCGCTAAAAGCTTAACTTTTAGTGGGTCAAATGAAAACTACCACTAAACACTAAGAGGCTAAACAGCTATGGGGATGGCTGGGAGCCAAGAAGTCAACAATCACTCGCTGCCGCTGCTCGCTCCATATTCGGCAATGCTTGAACATCCTCTGAACGACCCCTACATCAATTCTCGTCCTTCCCCAAACGTCAAGCGCCGGTGTTGTCTTCCTGTTACAAGCTGATAACGTTGCAATGCAAGGTCGACTCTTCCTACAATAATTCCACTAGCGCAAGTAGCTGGCACAATTCCATTTCTGTCAGTCAGGGGGATGAGGAAGGAAAAAAGGAGGGAGTTGTGGCATCTACTTTCATCCCACCAGGGTTCCCTATGTTTCCCTCTTTGGCGGTGTTGACTGTGGTTTTAAACATCTCCTATGGGCAACATTTACAAGTGTTCCGCGGGTCCCCGGTGATGTTTCAAAGGGAAATCTAATGAATGCCAAAAGGTTCCGTCCGGTGATAGAAGCTCACACACCAGCCCGAAAACCTCCGTCTGCTTCAGCCTGGAAAAGATGAGAACATATTTCCAGTAGTGATAGATTCCCTTTAACACCAACAGGGAAAACTATTTTTAACATAACATAAAAATAATAACAAGAGCATAGACCCCAGATTGCGATAACACCAGGGCAAAATCGAAAACGTGTTGGAAGAAAACAAGCCGCGCCTGAGTGGGCATTGAAGGTATCCAGGAAGTCCAAAACGCCGAAGTCCGGATCATTCGCGTTGAACCTTGCGGATCTCTGGGTGACTTGGGACGCTGTGTCTTCCAATGGGGGTACCCAGCCCCCCCTCAAAATGACCCCACAAAGGGTTCCCTCGAAAAAGATCTAGAAACATCTAGAACCCAGACAAATGGAAGGTGTGCAATAAGCTTCCCTTTGAACAAACCCCTGACCAGAGGTGCCCTCAAAATGTCATTTGCCCACATTTCAGCCAAAGGCACAAGCAGCGGATGACTGCCACGGGCGGTTTTCCCACAAACACCGACACCGTCACTCGGATTTTGTTGCCATTCTTTGCGGACAACTTTGGCATACCTTCAGGAGGAATCCTGCATGTTTCCAAGGAGGTATAGCTGGTCTTCAGGTGACTATCCTGGGAGTGAAACTTTACGGTCTACCATTTACTAGTCTATCCATTGCAAGTCTCCTTGCCTTGTCCAGTTCTTCCAGTTACTAAAAATAAGTACGTAGGCAACAAGATATGTTTACTTCTAGGTTTTGCATGATGGTTTTCCGTGGATACTTTCTATAGTGCTACGTGGAAACAGAAGCAAACAGCGGATCTCATCCATCTTGTCCGCGGGGTGCAGTGGCATCGCAGGAAATCGCCCCGCGGGCAATCGGTCCATTCGGCGATGCTTCGCTGGAGGCTTCTGCTCCTTCATCTCAGTGCTTGAACAGGTCCTCACTAGAGAGGTTAGAAGAAGGGTATACCCTTCTTTTTGGTAGTCAGGGAAACCCTCCCCTGCAAACGGGTGAGAAAGGGCGCTACTGGGGGACCTAGTTGAACAGGCCGCAAGGCAAAAACGGAAAACAGCATCCGCAAACCTGGCTGTGCTTTGTTGGGCTGATGTTCCTTCGATTCAAAATCGACCAAACACAAAAGGGTGTCTTAGCTGTCACTGGGCACTGGAGTAACCACGATGCAATTTCGTAGGTAACTTAACCAGGGAAAGCACCCGTCAACAACAGGGAAAATCGCTCAAGCACCGGGGAACGTTCCGCAAACCAGCAATTGAATGTAAATAGGAACCACTGGTACATTGACTGGCCCTGCAAGTCTCAGTGGAACCATGGCCCCTTGAAACATTTGCCAACTCCGGCCATTTTACTTAGACCTGCCGGCCTTGGCTCTCTTCACCCATGAGATTCTCGAGCTCGCGCTCCAAGCTATCTTGGCTGCCTCCACAACACGTCAAATGGGATGACTGCAGCTCAGCAGTGTCTCGTTTGCTTGCTGCACTTATTGTGCTCGACAATTTGTCGATTGCATCCATCTTTCGGTCAAGTTGCCATTGAATCGGCGACCTTTGGCACGCTGCTTGCAGCTTGTGCAGTTGCAGGTGGCCTGGCGCTATGGCAAGCTGAAGATGCTGAAGCATCTGCTTGCAGGCCTGATACCTGTGCATCAGGCGTCTTCTGCTTCTTGACAGGTTTCAGGCCTTCATTGGTTTTCCGCTTTCGAGCATTGGCCTTCGCTTTGGCAGCAAGGTGACTGACGAAGCTTTTCACTCTGTCGCTTCTGAACTTTGCGCGAAGCAGCACGTCCAAATCAGACAAGACATTCTTGGATTCAATCTGGGCCTGCTTAGCTTTCTCCTTGGCGAGCCGCTTCCTTTCGGCTTTAGCCGCCTCCTTTTTACATTCCTGACATCCATCTTCCTTGTATGCCAGTGCACAGGATGTGTGACCACAAGCCAGGGTGTTATATCCGTGCTCGCCCGTCTGGCGATTGAACGCTTGCCCCGGAAGCCACTCAATCATTAGCAACTTCTGTGGCTGGGACACGGATGGAGGCATCACTGGTTGGGCACACTGCTTCTTGCTGTCGATGCTTGAAACTGTGTCGTTTTCGGACAGGATGCAATGGTGTAGATTCATGAAAGACAGGCTTGTAAGTGCCAAGGAGAAGTGCCTTGCCATCTCTTGCCAAACTGTTCTGAGGCGATCTGTGTCAAACACCTTCAGCTGCTTGATGAAATCTCCCGTTGTTGCGCTGGTAATGTTCACCACTCCTGCTACGTGCCCAAACTCTTCAAGAAAACTGTCCCAGCAGCTTTCACAACAGTTGTCTTGAAGGCGCTCCTGTAACGGGCAATTCGGTGCTGGACAATCGAGCCAAGCCCCATCCTCCTTGGCAACCATATCACACTGGTCACATGATCGGTTCATAGCTCCATCTTGGCAGTACTCGCAGGCTGTCGCCTCGCACACCTTCGCCACACAACCCTCACAGAGACATTCATAGTGACCACATTCCGTGGCTTCTGAGTAGCCACACATCATGTACCCACACATATCGCAATAGTGTCTGCCCATGGCTCGTTCCAGTGCTGCGAACTCCGTCCCCTAGAGCAAAGCAGCTGCACCTCGCACGGTGTGGCACCCTTTTCCGGGGATGAGTCTTGGATCAGTTCTTGAGGAGCCCAACACCGACTTCAGAATTCACGGGCGATCAGGAGGCAGCTGATCACGTTGGCTGTCAGAAAGGACAACACACTGGTCAACATTTATCCCTCCATGCAGGGATCTGACAGGAGGGTTTTGGTGTAACGAAAAAACCTCCCCGCCTCCCCATTGTCACTTGCCCGTGCCAGAGCCCCGGTCCCTTAGGGACCGGGGCCCCCTGGGCTGTCGGCTGAAGGGGGTCCGAGTAGCCAAAGGACAGAAGCCTGAAGGCGGGCACCGCTCCGAGCATCCCAGGTGTGGGGGCTACGCAGGGACCCCATGCGACCCCTTTAGACTGGTGCTTGTTTTTTGGTTGGGAAGCGCACTAACACAGAAAAGGCTTAGATGTTTGGCCCATATTTGAACCATGTGCAGAAAAAAACTGCTGGTATTCGAGTGGTCGCAGGTCAGGTGTGTGGGATGGGGGTCCGTTTGTTTTGCCCACAAGGAGTTACAGTGCAAGTCCTGCTCAAGCTGTGTGCCCTTCACTACAGCCGGGTCGATCAAAGTGACATCCTCACAAGTATCCACTTTCTCTGGTGGGCAAACAACATGACACCACCGGGACCCAAAAGTAACTTTGAGAACCCTCGAAATGCAACCACTTTAAGGGACCCAGTTTTGGCTCCAACCCTTGCTTTTCAGGGATTCGAGGTAGCCACCCGAGGCATGTGCCCCGCTTGCGGGCGAGGAAACCTGGTAGCAACTAGAGGCGTCTGCCTCAATCAGCTCTAACCATCTGTAAAGTCAATCTGGGCAAATTGCACCAGTTCCCAACCCAGAAATACAAAAAGCCCCCAGCAAAGGACCTTCACCAAGCTTGTGTCACCCCCGACTCGATGAGCTAGTAATCTGCCCAGAATCAAAGATCCTGAAGGAAAGAGCGCGGCATCCGGCTCAGACGATCAAACTGGCGTCACTCGCCCAAATCGCGAGAGGTGCTATGCTTAAAACTCCTCATGTGGCCCATGGTTATGGGATCCCTTTAGAGAAAGCCCCCTAAGGGTTCCACCGTCCCTACCAACCGACAATAAGGAACCATTCTGTCAACCGAACATATGAACCCCTTCAGGGCCCCTTCTGGTGGGTTCACCTACGTTCTGAACAAAGAATCAAAAGGTGCTTTGGGGATGAGCCCGGAGATCCCTGAAGGAAAATCCCAAGAGATGATTCATATATGAACTCTTCGGGTGAGCCACGTCCTAACATGTCATGATTTGCCCCACCAGCTCACGCCACCTTACGCGGTCGATATGACGCGACTCTTACTAAAAATGTGCAAGGAGGTGTTGATCGCCGCTCAGGTGGGCACCTACGTTCTGAACAAAGAATCAAAAGATGCTTTGGGAATGAGCCCGGGGATCCCTTGAACGACAATTTGAAGGTTCATGGGGGTGCATTCCAACCCAGTCCCTGCTTGTCGAACCAGCGACAAGAAGGGCAACCACCATTTGAACAGTCAGTGAAAATCAATATGTAATCACCCTTGTTTGCCCAAGGAGCTTCATCCAATCAATTTCACGGGTTGATTTCCAGGCAACACCCATTTAGCCTCTTCTTTCCCCGCCCGTGGCAAACCTCCCGCGCCTCAGTGCGATAATGCCGAGGATGCACTCGAAGTTCACCCCTTTTATCCAGGACCAGTTGATGAGCTCCTGTACCTCCCGAAAAAGACGAGGGAGCCAGACTGAACCCAGCAACGCCTCAAGGCTATTCGGGAAATCGAATCATCCCTCACCGAACAGGGAACCAACTGCCCCTGATGCGAGATTGTGTTGAAAGGGAAATCAAAAGGAAACCAACCAACTTCCTGAGGGAAACAGTTGTTCGATGGATTTGAAAGAAAGCCAGGAGGAAACCTATCTCTTTTGCGGGTCATCCATTCCCCAAGGTTTGGGCAGGACCCAAACTCGCCGGTGGATGAAGCATGCCGTGAAACGGTGCCTTTGATTCAGGCTGGGCTTTGTTGAACTCAAAGAGGGTGTAAGCTGACCTATAATCCCCACTTAATAATGCTAACCTGCTCCCCCTTGAGTCCCCTCGCCAAGAAGTTGGTTCCATTTCAGGTATAAAACCCCAAATCAAAGGCCCCTGTCAATGTGTTCCTTGACTCGCTTTGGGGGCCAGAAAATCCAACTAGTTCTGATTAAATCGGCTGAAGAAGCGCATCTGGGCCAATCACGAAAGATCTTCATGAGCGATCTCCATCGCACGCCAAATCCCTTTGTGAAGTCGCTGCTCAGAAACATAGGGACCCGCGGTCTTTTTCTTGAGGGCACTTTGTTTGCCCTTTGTTTGCGTTGCTTGTTTTACATGGAAAGCAAAGGGGCACCCACCCATGCAGTTTGGGGTGCTTCCATTCGGGTTTGCTTCAAAATGAAACACAAACAATGATTCAGAACGCCCCCGCACATAAGATGAGGTCAGTTGAGCTGAATTATTGTAGGCAAGCCTTCACATTCTTCTTTTAGCTGTTGAAATTACCTGTGTAAATGGAATCACTTGGCTTCAGCCTTGGCATGGAGTTGCAAGATATGACAAACATACAAGCACTATGCAAAGAACATGCAAAGTTATAGTGTCCTTTCAAGGGGCCCCTTCCTACATAGGTGTTGAAGGGTGTGTAGGCAAGTGGAGTCACTCGGGCGTTCAAACCACCTCAGGGAAACCTGAGTTGCACCTCTTCCGAAAGGCTGGGCCTCGCGGTGCTCTGCCATCGACAGCACTGAGTCCTGCGCCAAGGTAGTTGTTTTAGCATGGATGGACCAGTCATGTTCACCGAACCTCAAAAAAATATGTGTGTTTTTGTTTTGAGGGTACCCGTTTTGGGGCTGGTTTAAAGGGAAACCAGAAGGACAACCAGCATTATTTTTTTTTTGGGGGGGGTCCCCTGAAAAAAGACACACCCAAATGGGTTCGTTGAGAAGTGCAGGTATGCTTTCTTCAGCGCAATCCGTCCGTGGCCTTCAGCGAGGGACGTGACTTGGCAAGAGCATCTGGCTTTGTAAAGTCTGTGGTGAACTGGGCGGGCCTCTCACTTCATATACCACAACGTGTTGCCAAACTGTTTGTCCATGGTCCACATCCAAGGTGACAGTCCAGGAACTCAGCAAACAAGGTACGAAGTAATCTGATAAATATCAGTTGCAACCTGGAATAAATCGGTGTTGCTTGCCAGATTGCGACTTCACTATTCGAATATCTTTTGGACATGCGGAAAAGGGAGAAAAAAAAAGAAGTGGTCCCCAAGCGAGCGCGCTCCTCCTGTCCAGGCTCGCGATAGACGTAGTGCCCAATCTTCGTGCGGATTTCCGCCCATTTGTGCTGATTGTGGGCATGGCGGCAGTATGTACACCTCAGCCATCAGCCAAGCCCGAAGACCGTGAAATCAGGGAGAGTGGCTTTCTTGCCCCACATCTGTTTGGAGACCCCCAGTTTTGGAGATGAGCTGACAAGCTGTTGGTGGTCAACCTGCCTCCAAAACCCGGACCTGGAAAAGACCTTGAATCTGGGACCGCCTCTGGCGTCCACAAAACATGTACGTTCAGCTTCTGGCCCACATGTTTGATCAACTTTCAAATATCTATCTATATATATATATATGTTTTTTTTCCTGGGATCCCATTATAAATAGCGATGGTTTCCCCTTACCTGCCAAAGTAACCAGGAGAAACACATTCGGTTTCTCGGCTTTCAAGGTTTGGCGCGGTGACTTGTTGAAGGCCCCAGTTCTTCCTTGTGTCAGGCACTATGTACACCTCGGCAAGCGAAAAACCAAATTTGGGGTGGGTTCGAAAGGCAACCGTCAACGCAATCTTGGGTGCCCCCTGGTTCCCTCCGACCTGTGCACAGCTCATGGGAAATGGCGGTTGTCGTTTCTTTTAAACGAACGCTGGTCGAGACGCCCTAACACTTTGCCGCATCTAGCTTTTCTTCCTCTTTGGTGAACACGGGGAATTCATGGAAAATCATGAGGGTAGCTTCCGATATACTTTTTGGGGCAGATCATGATTGGTAAATTGTTTGGGGCTGCTTTGTTTGAACGATCCACTCAGTGAGGAGACGTCCCGTTTCCGAACGGTGAACCTGGAATACTTCCAGTTGCAAGTGAGATACAAAGACGAATTCTTGGGGGTCTCCCAAATCAAGTTGTACATGGTAGACAAAATGTGAAACCTATTATGAGCACCGCTGGGGTACAGTTCCAAGTTTGCCACACTGGCATCACTTTACTTGGGGATCAGTTTGCAAAATCGATTCGGCCACGTCAGCCGAACTTTCTCTTTTTTAGCGTATAATCCCTTTGGAAGTATGCATCATGTCATGAACAACCAGGATTTTCAACATGCTTGCCCATTGGCCAATCTGCCACAACCAGGGGAATTGACTCGGGAAACTCCCCCTCAACTCACAGGGAAATGCCTCCTGGATCGACCCACATCAGCCTTCTGATCTTGCCAAGGGCAGCACAAAGTCTAGGGAAACTTGACGCTTCGTTGATCGCGTGCAACAAGATAAACCCAAATGGCTGTGGCTCAAAAAACCGGTACCCAAATGGAACTCTGGCAAGTGGAAACATGAATCAAAACCTGCGGTTTGCCCCTCCTGTTGATTTTTGAGCCACACCCAAATGCTCCATTGGACAAGCTCCAGGAGCTTCCGGAAAGACTTGGAGCCTGGGAGCCCGGCTGGCCGTCGCACTCCGTGCGCTCGGCCATGAAGCTGTAGGTCTTCGAGTACTCCTGACCGACGAAACCGTCCCTTGCGTGGCCGTGTCTTGTTTTGATCCATTTGGAGGTCCACTAAAAAAGACACACCCACATTCAGCAGTGAATCGGGATGTTGAGTCTGAAATCCGGGTCTGGTTGTTTGAACCACTCTTTCCCCAGGCCCAAGAATTGGAAAATGGCGTCTGGCTTTGTGTTCCGACAAACCATCGCCTTACCTTCCGCACGGCCCTGCAAAGAAAAGGACAATGGATATCAATGGATTATCGAGCCTGGCCTTTCTTGCTCCAATTTCCAAAAAGGAAACTCAACAAGGGGGGAGTCCTGCAGAGGTTTGTGGTAGTGAGGGTTTCTTGCGTGATACCAAAACATATGCCCTTGTTAAGCCATAGGTTAAAACGTAAGGGCCCAACTTGGAAAAACAAAACAACAAGAGGTCCACAATCCGGTCGATTCGCTTTGCACTGGTGAGTCCAGGAAGTTCTGAAGATTCACAAAAACAGGTCCGGGCCAAGATGCCCTGCAGTTCCAAAAGGACCTGGCGGATTCAACGTGCTGCCGAAGCCTCAAAGCCTCCAAATGGCACCCCCGGGCTACTGATCCACCTTACCAGAACAGAACAAAGCTCGCGAATCATGTGGCCGGCTATCGCATGCCCCAAACATCTGCAATCCCACATCGCCAATCCCACACATCGCCAACTGGGGAAGTAAGTCTAGGGACTCCTTTCCCTTGAAAACCCCAAAAGGGTGATTGTTGAAAGTGTTGAAACTGCGACACCTTAGGCTGTCTTGGACCCGCAGGAGTCAATCAAGCGGAGAGTCGATTCCCAACTCCATGTCCAGTGCCGACTCACGGACCTGGACAAACTGCCAAACAGAACCCTTGCTCTAAGCATCATGCCACTCTGAATTGGGGGCAGGGAATCTCCAAATGATTGAACCTCAAAAGGGCACCAGATTCTGATCCCTCCAATTTCAACCCATCCCTTGGAATCCCCTCACAAAGTTCCCAATATGCTTGGGCTGGGCGCTTGAACTCAACCTATCCTTCAACTCGCTTCAACTTTTATGGGTCGCTCGAGGTCCTCGGTCGAAAATTTAATCGGCTGGTCCAAACCGTTTTGGGATCCCATTTTGGTTGGTAGGTGAATTCACCCCCCATTTTAGAACCCATTTTAGTGGTTGGATTGAATTCTGAATCGGATGTTCGCTGGGGCCCGGTACGATTTAGCTTTTGACTGGCCAATTCGCGCCGGCCGAAGCCGCTCAACCGCTCGGCCCAGAGTTCGCCTTGGCGGAGGCGAGGGCGAGGCCCAAAAGCAGCCGCATCCTTGCGAATGGCCGGCAGGAGTGTTGAACAAATAAACCAAGCAAAAACGAATAAACCAAGCAAAAACCAAGCAAACCAAGCAAAACAAACAAACCAACCAAGCCAATCAAACCAAACTAAAGCAACCAAAAGAACACCACCAGCAACACCAGTCTGTGCGTTTCCCAAAGGACACACTGTGGGATGCTCTTCAAGAGTGGAATTTGCCGCATAGATTAAATGGAGCCCCAGAAAAGACTCAGTGTCCCTGTGGATCTACACAGCCACAAATGGCACCCAAAAAGCACCGACACACCCAAAAGGCTCAAAGGACAGATGTTTGGGAAGGGTACCCATGGACATGGGAAGATGTGGCTGGATTTGGACTTGAATCAGACGCTAGCCTGGCACTAGAAGCCCCCTCAGCAGCTCGAGATTGAGTCATATCAAGCCTGGGATTACAGGTCTCTACACAAAAACCACGTTCGCAGTACAGAATCAAAAGGCGCGGATATCCGCGCCCCTATCTAGGCTTCGATTACGGCTCAAATGGGCCTACAATCACCCAAGGCTTTCATTACACCGGCGTGGCTTTGAATAGTGATTCTTAATGGTTATTGGGGGGGGTTCTGGATTCCTCGTTTTGACCAAGAGCCATGCATTCTGAGCATGGCTCATCCCTCAACCTCTGTCGATCGCTTTGTCAAAAGCCAAACTTTGCATAACACCATTGACTCCCAAGCCCAGATTCATGGGATGTGCAACTTTAGTTTCATGACCTCGCGGAATGCCAAAAAAAAACCTGAACTACCGCCCACTATCGTCGCTTCTACTCCCTGGTTTGCATCCAATCCCGTCTCGAAATGGGTCTCAACTTTGACGCGCATGCACTGCAGTCCTTGGACTAACTGGCGGTGTCCACTTTTGACGCAATCCAACCTGGCCCTAATGAAAGTCTTTTTTTGGGGGGTTTTGGGGCTTTGGGGTTTTGGCGTCCAACCCAGTGCATCCCAGAACATTACTGGTCTTCGGATAAATCTGGACCGCAAGAGGGTGATGCCCTTTCGTGGGCCATCTTCCTGTGGCTCCCGTGGCCATGGCACAGGTCACTTTTTTGGCTTTGTTATGAATTCGGCCAATCTTCCTGGGGATGTGATTAAGGCAAGATTCGGGAGAGGATGGAAAAGTCGCATCTCCAACTGATGCAAAAAGAAATGAGAAGTAGGTTGGCGATTGCGCACTCACACGCCCTGAACATGACTAAGAAACATGGTCCAATGATTGAACATGAGCCAGGTGGGTCCCCAGCCAACCCCCGGAACACTTCTGGAGCCCTGGCTCGCACCCGCTCCAAAACATAGCTCACTCCGTTGAACAAACTCTGAAGCCCAGTGGCCATGGGAAAAAGGGCCCCTGTTTTTGGTTGATTTCGAAGGGACACCCAACCGCCAAATTGATGATTTGGATTGGCGGCTTACCCCCAACAAGATCCCAACCGCCAACCCAATCCACCGACCGGACACGAAGATACACACATCTCAAGGAAGTACCTACGCAGCGCTTTAGAAACCGACCCACTGACTCAGCTCCTGGAACTAGATTGGCTTCAAGCTGCATGGCATCTGGATGATCAATGTGAAAGTTCGCCTGTGGGTATGTAGGTGTGGCGATTTCTTGTGCAGGACCTGTCTTGGTAGGAGGTGCCTTCCATTTAGAGACAAACCTTCCCAAAAGAATGAATCTCAGATCTCCCAACATAGTGAGCTTCCTTGAAGCCCAAGAGCGCATGGATTTCAAGCCCAAGGGCTTTTGGTATGGGCTGCCGACTCCCAAAAGGCGCGGTTCGAGCTGCCAGGTGTGTCGGGGTGTCTGACCAGGTGGTTGGCTTCGATGACCCAGGAACAGCCGCTGGTTCAGGGTCGCTGTGTCCTTGTGACACCACCTTGTCCGGCTGTTGTCGCCAGCAAAAGTCAGGGAATCCTCTTCGAGGTCTGCAGAAGTGATTCCCCCAAGAGATTTGCGAAAATGTATGTGTTGGTCAGGTGCTTGTGCTAGACTTCTCGGCTTACCAGTTCTGTCGGATCCAAACAGCTGCCAGGACCACTCAATGCAACTGACAAGACGTGGGGAGGCGGCAGTGAGAATCGTCCCGGAATCAAAGCAATGCAGCAATGCCAACATCTGAGCATACCCAAAGTGCACAGCTCTTCGCCGCGCCCTCCGATTTTTCCTCGGAAATGGAGCCGTGAGCCCGTGACCGTGTCTAGGTCCTCCAGTAGAGAGGCTAGAATAAGGGTACCCTTTGTTCTGTAGTCTATTTTAGTAGGGGAACCCTCCTCCAAAAAGGGTAAAAGGGCACTACCGGAGGACCCAGCTGTTCAAAGGTGAAACAGCGCGCCAAGCACTTTGTCAAAGCGTCACTCGTCACTCCGCCACTGACATTGCCTAAGTTCGGATTGCTCAAGTGGCTTGGCCAGATTTAGACCCGCCTGCAACACAGGAACTTGCTGCCGATTTGAAGGGAAAATGGGCAAACACGTTTGAATGCAGGTGGATTCAGCATCTTAGCAATGACCTGTCACGGCGGAGCCCGGAGGCCATAAAATCCGAAGCACTGACTTAAAGCGGTTTCTCTTTGGTTTGCCTTTGAGTTCCTTTTGCAATCCTCGCTTTTCGTCCTTATTCCCCGATTGAAATTTGGTCGTTACGTTTGTCTTGAAAACTGGGAATCTCCACAATGGCTGATTCCCCTTGGCTTCCCCTTGAACCACCAACCCAAAAAACGGCACCCTCGCAAACATTTGCATAGGAAAACTGACTGACACTGCGCTTGACCAAATTTCACCTCCCAAAATCCGTCGGACAAAATACACTCTTGCTTTGCCGGGGGAGAGGTTGGCAAAAGATTGCAGTTGGGTGCCTTGAAGGGGTGAACCGGGCAAAGACGCTGTTGCTCTTTGTTTGGGCTGGCTGAGTTTACAGGGATGAACTTTGAAGGATACGCCAGCATATGAGAGCGCACTCAGAATGTTCATAGAGGTCGTTCCAACTCATTCCCTATGCACCAAGAGCTTTGCAGATCCCTGGTCGTTTCCCCTTTCCGGTTCCGCCAAACCCCAAGACTGATTTCCTGAGAAACCGATGCCATGGCTCGTCTCTCCCGAGCCCGGTCTAAGCCCCCGCGCCGAAAAATCCAGATCCAGCTGGGCCACGAACGGCCTACCGGGCTGGGCGTGTCGTTTTGAAGCTTCGATGCCCTTTTTGGGCGGGCGTGCAAAACGGTTAACCGAAAGCAAAAAACACAATGTTGGGATTTCCCTCCGACACATTCCCGTTTGCACAATAGTGCAATGGAAATCATATGGTCCACCATCAGTGGTTACTGAACCACAACCACAGGTACATGCCATATATGCATAAGTTGGAAGGAACCAAAAACTGTGTTTTTGTAAGCCGAACAACTAGTTACTTTACTTCGAACCAACCCGTTTTGCCCTCGCACCAAAAGTATGGCCGTGCGCGCCGTAGCGCGCATTTCCAGCAGCAATGGAAAATCTGCATTTGTTTGTCATTTCCTGCTGTAGTCTTACTTTTACTTTTACAAGTTGATTCAAAGTACGCTCACCTTCCAAGCGCAGCCAATTGAGCCCCGCGTGCCACGAACGCTGCCAAGGTTCCACTTTGAGATGCTTTCGCACGCTTTCGGGCGACCAAAGCCCAAAACCCCTTGACTTTGAATTCGGCCCAGATGATTGCACAGCTTTGCAAGCATTACCCCCAGCGAGCCAAACAATGAAACCGTGAAGGCATTGGGCGCTTGCCCAGCTTTCCATCGAAACAAATGAGCGAAACCTGAGTGAGGCCAGTCGCAACGCCTCTCATGGCCAGTCGCCATGGGTCTCTTGCGGAGCGGTCTCCGCTTGAGCCGTTGAGCCGCAGGCTTCGGCCTCGCCTTGGGCAACCAGCGGACTGCAGCTGTGGTGCCACAGCTGTCACGCGCCGGGCAGATGAGTCGGACATGGGATGTCACCTAACATCCAGCGACCCCAAATTTATGGGGTGCGGAAAGCACAAGATCACGCCAAGAACGAGGGTCCACATCTGTCCTTCCCACGGCCCGGAAGCAGCATGGGATACACCTGGAGTATGGACGCTGGTATAGCACCAAATGCTTCTAACGCTATAAATGCCCTTAAAAAAAAGTCGCACATCAAAGTCAAAGCAAACAGAAAGCTCATGGCCTGCGCAGCCGCCTTGCATGGCCAGCCCATCCATCGGGCTGAACCCCCTCCCCGGCGGACGGCTTGCTTCCAGGCCTGGGCAGCTGAACTTCCGTGTCCGGCAGAAGGCTCCTGGCCACCGGGAAGTTTTGGGTTCGGTGTCCAGCTCAAGGAGAACAACAGGGCCTCATGGGGGCTGGGGGAGAGGGAGAAGGGGAGGGAGCCCAAATAAGCCCCCATTAAGCTTTTAACCTCCCTCCCCAGCCCTCATGAGGGAACCCATGTGATGTGTCAAACCAGGGATGTGGACTCAAACCAAGAAAAAAGAACAAAGCCCCCAAGAAACCACAAACCCTGATGCAGACCGACGGGCAGCACTGTCAAGGAAAACATAGGTAGTCTAGTACTCCTCTGCAGCAATTTACTGGGGCCCCGGTCTCAACCCATTCAATTTCAAAGGGGTGGACATCAACTGAGATGCATATTTTTTCTTTTTTCGAACATGCAAGCCAGAACGATGCAACCATTTTGAGAGCACCCCCCCCTACCCCCTATTTTTGCGCAAGATGTAAAGAATGGTATTATTTCGAAACACTTCTTTGAACAAAACAGCGTTGCTTGGCTCTGTGCCAAGTAGAGCCGTAGTCCATTAGCAATTTCTTTAACGGTCTTTGGAAGATAAACGGTGTTCTTTGGGGCGTTGCTGTTCACAAGTGCAAGGCTTGATTGAAAAAAACAAGTGCCCCATCAAGTCGCGGCACGGACATATACAACCTCCTGCTTCAGCTCAGCTGCTCAATGCCTTTGATGTTGGCATGAAACAAAACATCAAATATAATCTTAGCTTGGCAAACTGCTTGAAGCCGACACAACACAACACCAAACACAAGCCGCGTTATTGGCCTTTCTTTTATGTGTGAGACAAGCATGTGTGACTGGCAAAAGCTAAGAAGACTGCGCCGCTGCGCGCTGCGCTGTCCAGCTTTGGAGCCGATCACTGAGTTTCAAAGCATCCATATCAGCTGTTTCCTTTAAAGGCGAGCTGGTTTGGCGCACCACAAGCCAAAGCCGATGTATAGCAGGGCGCTGCGACAATGCACAGAACCCACATCCCCAGACCAGGAGTTAGACATTTTCCCACTTCCCCGTAGCCTCACCGGGCTGCTGGCCTTGCCGGGCGGATTTCCGCTTTGGGTGAAGCGGATGTTCGCTTTGGGTTCAGGCCAAATGTATGAAGCAAATATAGCCCAAGCCACTGAAAACGGAAATCCAACTGCTTCTTTGCCTTTAAGCATTCGCAAAAGTTAAACGGCAGGATTTTGGCCCAGCAGATGCACGAACCCCAGTTTATGGATAAATTAACTATTGCGTACTGCCATGTTCACAAGCCCCTGCGCACATCCAAGCCCTTCTCGGTCCCACCAAACACCTAGCTCCAAAAACCTCCGAGCAGTATGTTCAGAGCCCTTCCCTGTGGATCCCAACTACAGGCAAAGTAGGTAGCCAGCCATGTGGTTACCGTTCTTGTTTAGGTGCACGGAACCGCTGGGATTGGAAACAAAGGAGGATCTCAACCGGAATGACCTGGCACAAGCGATGGTGAGCAAGATGCTCAACTGCCGCTGAGCTCGTCTTGGTTCATTGGGTAAAGTTATAGAGTGGAACGGCAACCAAAGCTGTGCCCTTTGAACACCATGAATTCATGTCTTCCCACAATCAAGTCCAGACGCTGAATGGAAATGAGTCAGTTAAAGGGTGCCAATTTTTCTGCGCATGTTTGATCAGAGAGACCGAACTGTGCACCAAAATGTTGTCCAATGATAGCAGGTGAGCAATGGAGACACCGCTTTAAACACTAAGAGGAAAATGGATCGAAGGGTTACCTATTGTTTAAGAGGCTTGTGGGTTACTCTAACATGTTCTAACATCTCGTGTATCCCAAGTACTAAAAACAAGTAAGTGTATGTACAAACTTTCGCAAAAATCCCCAAAACATGTTTAAAAGATAGGCTATTGTTTCGGCTTGCCTGAGATCCACTGGGTGCCACTAAGACTACATCCCGAACCCAGCGGTTCCATTTACTGCCCTAGGTATCCAAGGGGTTCCGAACCGTGAAAACCAGCTAGCGTTCAGGTCAGGTTGATCCCAATTGCCTGCTTGTCACCCAGCTTTCTTTTGAGAAACCAAGACAAACTCCCTGGGTTTCGGCAATTTGGGTGTGTCTGAAAATGGGGACCCTCTAACATAGGCGGTTCTCCCCTCAGTGTCCATTTAAGATCAACTCCGCGAGATGGTGCCCTCAACCAAAAGTCACACACACACAGATCTTCTGAAGAAAAGCTTCGCGTCCAACGGTCGGATTGGTGACCAACGCTTTGGCTTGGTGGTTTGGATTG